GACCTCCGGGTTATGAGCCCGGCGCTCTTCCCCTGAGCTAACATGCTTGGAATTGATGAAAACAAGGAACCTAAACGATTCTATAAACCAGCATAAATAAATAGAAAACCCCAACTGTATTTAAGGTGAGACCGAGTACAAAGTGTCATCGCAAGAATTGAATCGGTCTGTGAGGGTATTTAATAATTGGTGTCAAGGATAAGCAGTCTCTTCCGCTTGATAGTATAATCTCCACTCTACGAAAATCTCACTCCCTGCCGGAGTGGCATAAAGTGATTGCCTAAGGCAAGGAACCAATTCCTCGAATATATATGTATGCGGATAATGCCATCGAGAACACACTAGGGCACCAAACAACATTACAACAGCAACCAGCTATATCGACCAGCAGATACAATCTACAGGAGTCGAAAAATGTCCCAATTCAGCAAGATTCTCGACTGGTCTTTAAATCGTTGGTAGTATCTCAGGCCAGCCGGAATATGAACCTCATGAGCATCACTGTCGAGCAGACGGTCGAAGAACCCAACACAGAACACGAGATACAATCAAGAAGTTTTCTTCTCGCGTAATGTGTCCCTCTTGATTCCCCCGGTTTCATTAATAATCAACTCATCGCGCTCCCACATCAACTCGACTGCAGCCCCCACCGGCCCGACCAGAGTGACCAACAACACGGCCTTCTTTAGCAGATCAAGCCATGCAACCTTGCCATAAACGACCAGATGAGCAGTCTTATACAAACTCAAGGCCCAAACCAGCACGCCCGCGGAGCCAATCAGATAATCCCAGCGCAGGAACACATGCACACCCGCCCCTATGTCGCTCACTTGCAATGTTGGCTTTGTCCAGGGCAAGGCAATCTCGAACACCTTGAACGGATGCAGAGCAGCCAACAGCCGCTTCTCAAAAACGACGGGCGCAAGTACAGTAGCCATAGACACGATCCAGGAGATGAGGTGGGTCAAGGCAGCGTTGGCGAATGCAAAGGCATACACGAATCGCAGCGACCGGAGATTCGCGCGTCCACCTTCAACCGACCGATCACTGCTCACAAAGGGACCGAAGACAGCGTTGATTATGGTGAGAGCGATCGCAACGTATGCAGGCCAGGGATGCCAGGAGGCGATAAAGATCTGCTTCATGTCGACGGTGACGTGCTCCGAAACAGGCAGGATCATCAGCAACGAAGGAACCATGAATCCAAGGATAAACACCACAGGGATTGCATTCAGAACAGAGCGAGGAATGCGGATGTTATCAGCGTTGGGGTTGCGCGCGGTGATGGAGCTGTATAGCTGGCAAGCGCAGTACAGGGGCGTGGCGAACGCGAAGGTGAGTACTTGCGCTACGAGGCCGAACATCATGGGACTGGTCCTTCCTGTCAGCTTTTTCTGTCATAGATGTGACTGAGGGTTACAGACAATGCAGCGATCGTCCAGGCATTTCCGCGTCTCCAGGACTCCAGAGTCACGAGCGTCCAGGCAGCACCAAAGGTACCAGAGAAGGCGATGGAATGCAGCGTCAGGGTAGGATTACTGCCATCTGTGGCAGGCCAGAAAAAAGTGGTCAATGCAGCCAGCACAACATCCACCTGCTCAATCCCCGTATAGACGGTGCGCAGAGGCTCGTTGGTGCCTGGCAGCGTCTTTGTAGAGATGGCTTCATGTGCCAGACGATTCAAGCCGTTGATTTCGGCGAAGTAGAAGATGGCGTACAGCGCGAACACGCTGAGCAGGGGAAGGATCAGTCTGGCTGTCATCTTGTTCGCAATGATGTTCAGGTATGCAAGGCGACCAGCATACGTGTGGAACGCAATAGAACGTTGACATTGACATATTTATAACCGATTTTCGAGATCTCAATCTTACTTTCGGGTTCGGTTGACGGCGGCATGGATGCATGCAACATATTTCCTGAATTGGCAAGCCTTGCGAATCGTGTGGAGGAATAACGGGTCGCTAGCCAATGTTTGGTTTTCAGGTGTTCGTGTCTGCCGCAATAGATCTCCGAGCTCTATACCGAGGCAGTGGTGATCGATCACAATCTCCGGTCGGAAAGGAGCACGGTCAGTGCATGTCATCCACGATTCACATGGTGATAGATTTGCAAATGTTCCAAATGGCTCGATTAACAATGGCTGGCCTATTGTTCTAGAAAACCGTAATGGTACCTTTGGCGGCCCCGATGAGCGCTTTCACTCCACGCGTAAAGCATCAATCGATGGCTGATGCAGCTTCGTTGAGATTTGCTCTTGTGCTGGTGATTTTATGTTAAAATAATGGCATCCGCCACTTGAGCAGCTGCCTAGGGTTTGGTATCTCAACACAGACAGCGCTACTCCGAGGCGCTTTTTGGTCTGCATCTGCTTGAAGAACCACGAGCTCGCAATATGGACTTCGATCGGGCGTTTTTGAGCACCGATGCGAGTGAAGAATGTGGGCACTGTGCGATCCCACCGCGGACTTTGTCAATTGCTGAACAAGTTTGACACTGGCCCAATGTCACGAGCGTCAGAGAGAATGACCCGTCGTGGTTCGAGGATCGATGCAAGGTGAGACATTGGCCGAATGGTGAGCTCGAGTTGTTGAACTATCTCTAAACCGTGGATCGAACTGTTGGATGGTATGTAATGGGTAATTGCCACTAATGAATCATGTGAAGCTTAGTTTATCCTTCATGTTGACATTGCAAGAGCATTAACACTATTTGAATGGGCATTGTGAACTGGATCACTCGCTATATCGCATGAGTCAACATGCAAGGTAGATATGTGCTTCATACACCAGCGCAGACGATTCCAAACCGTCTTCGGAATCCAGTCCGTTCTGAAAGTGGTTATACACATATGAAGCAAGCCAAGTGTTTCTGCAACTGTCGCGTTGAACACATCTACAGATTTCAGCCTGAATGCAAACACTCCGGTTGATATCAGGCTATATAAAGAATTATGGCAGCACTGGATGCAGTATGGCTTTCATGAATAATAGGTTCTCTCGCACAGAAACGATATTCGACAATGGAGTCTTTCCCGGAACCTAATCCAGTCAAGGAACTTACCATTGCTGATTATCTTCAAATTGCCGTGACAGTTTGCTTTCGAGTGCCATGGACTGTCTTAACGACTCTCTTGCGGCGCTGGGCGCCCTGGTCTACTTATCATCCGCCCCCGCTTAGGGAACACGTCTTCCGGCATGTCATGACCTGGTGTGTATTCATCAAAACCAATCCTTGACTACGTGTGTTTCTGTATCGATGAATATTCATACGGTGTGAATTCTCTCGTAGCCTGGGAAACAACACGCCCGGATCGCTCTGGGACAACGTCGCCGATCGAACCGGCCAGAACCTGTTTACCTCGAACCGCTACGGGCATCTCAAACGCCAGATCTACCAGAGCGTACGCAGAGCAGACTTCTGCGGCTTCTGGCTTTGCCGTGGACTGTCAGCCGAAGCGATCCACCCCCGCGATGCCGATCTGGTGCTCTTCCACTGCCATGGCGGCGGATACGTGAGCTTCCACCCGTCTGCCGGAGCGCCAGAACACCTCTTCATGGCGGAGCTTCTCCAACGGTATGGGCTCACGGTCGCCATCTTCTCTCTGGACTACACCCTCGCCCCGGCAGCGACGTTCCCGAAACAGCGCGACGAAGCGATTGCCGCCTACGACTGGATCAACAAGGAGCTGGGCGTGGACGCATCCAAGATCGTGGTCATCGGCGATTCCGCCGGGGGCCATCTGATCGTTTCTCTTCTGACGGGCCTTCACCAGCGCTATCGCAGAGTCAACGATCGACACAGCACCGATCACCCGCCAGACCGACCCGCCGGAGCAATCCTGGTCAGCCCTTGGTTGAATCTACACACGTCACATCCGCGCGCGCTCGCGCTCCACTGGGAGGAGCGGCTGTTCAAACACTCGCTAGACAAATGCTGCGAGCAGGTGATGCGGGACACACCCGCCGACATCGCCGAAGTGTACAGCAACTTCGCCATCGACGTGGCAGCACGCGGCTCCTGGAAGGAGATCCTCCCCGGCCGCACGTGGGTCTCAGCCGGGGCGGAGGAGCTGGTATTCCTGTACGACATTGAGGATTTTGTGGCGCATGCACGACGTGACGGGGCGACGATCGCGCTGGAGGTGACTGCAGGCAAGGATCATACGTGGCAGTGCTCTGAGGCGCTCGGGCAGCATCCGAAATTACTGGCGATGCAGCCTGGGGAGGATGACGAGGGGCTGATGGGGGGTTATCGACGGATAGCGGAGGAGATTCTGAGGCTTGTCGATCGATGACTGTGGGGCTGCGATGACTCGATTAGATGAAGCGCGTGGCATGATGGAATGAAGGGAGATCTGTTTCATTGGTGGAGGGGACGGCTCATCTGCAGAGTGATATCATTATCAGATCCAGGTTTGTAGATGATAATGTCTTGTTATCGATGGAATATATAAGGTCCACAACGTATGGACTTTTTCTTTGCAACCCAGACATCCCAAACCAATAGTTGTCTTCCCAGAGAACCCAATCTGTCATCTACAACGCATCAAAATGCCTGCTGTTATGGCAAGTCTCACAAGCCCATCGAGCGAAATCTATCTTCTAACACAGCAATGGTAAACATAGATCACCCTGAAGTCGAGTGCGACCGACGACCAAATCAAACAGTAAGTGTTGCTGTCATGCTAGCGAAGTCATGCATTGACAACCCCAGGGTGAAAGACAACATCACCTCAAGTGGCGGCAGCATCAAGTCGGACTTTCAACTGGTCAAGGGCTTCACGTACGTCTACCCGTACTCAAACACCGGATCGCACTAACGAGGCCATTCCAGTGCTGAGGTTCCAGACGGGATGGTGGGCGTCTTGTCGAACGATGATCTGATTGAGAATGTAGAGGAGGACGCAAACGTGAGCATTCAGCAATAGAGATAGATACCTTCTGTACTATATGAGATATGAGATACGACTATATACATCGTCCAGGAGATAGAAGCATCCATCATGGCTTGTACGCGTCCAATGCCGCATACACAGCCTTGACATACGCCTCAGTGCGTCCATTTCCCATCGTCCCAGAACCCATCTTATTCAACGTATACGTAATCGTCACCTTGCGATCGACATCCATGATCGCGAGGGACCCGCCCCAACCTCCCCAGAAGCACACTTTTCCTTGCGGCATCCACTCCAACGCCTTGTTCTCCGGCGCCGGCAGCCCCATGCCCATCCCAAACCGGAAAAAGAGCCCCAGCACCAGATCCGCCCCGCTGACCTGTTCCTGGAAGATCAGATCGATTGTCTGGGGCGAAAGGAACCGCTTCCCGTTCGCGCTCCCGCCCAGCGTAACCATCGAGGCAATCCGGTTGATCGCACGCGCATTGCCGAATCCGCCCGACGCACCCTGCTCCGCGCGCCGGAACTCAGGCGTCATGCACGCCGTCGCGTCGGCCAGGGTCCCTCGGAATGCGCGCGCAGGGATACTCTGGGGATCGAGGGCGGGCATGTCTATAGGTGGAGGGGGCACGATGTCCGCCGTGCGCGGCCAGTCCTTCTCTGCGACGCCGAGCTGGAAATCCGCATCGAGCGGGGTAGCAAGCTCGTCGCGGATGAACTGCGTCAGCGACTTGCCCGAGACGCGCCGCACGAGCTCGCCGACTAGGAAACCCTGGGAGGTAAGGTGGTATCCCGACGCGGTGCCGGGGGTCCACCAAGGTTGCTGCTGGATGAGTTTCTCCGTGGCCAGGGGCGTGTTGTAGTATTCGTCGCGGGACAACGGGGGATCCCAGGCGGGTAGGCCGGCGGTATGGCTGAGGACATGGCGGACCTCGATGTCCTGCTTGCCGTCCGCGGCGAACTCGGGCCAGTACTGGGCGACCTTGGCGTAGGGGTCGAGCTGGCCGCGGTCGATGAGGAGCAGTGCGGAGAGGTTGGTGATGATCTTGGAGACGGACCAGACGGGTGCGATTGTGTCCTGGGTCCAGGGCTTTGTGCGCGCAACGTCTGCGTGGCCGCCCCAGAGGTCGACGACGGTCTCCCCGTTGATGTTTACGCAGATGTCGGCGCCGAGTTCCTCGCCGGAAGCGAGGTTCTCCTCAAAGATAGCTTTGAGGGAGGAGAAGGCCGGATGGCAAGTGCCTTGGACTTGTGTCATTTTGATTTGGCTTTCCGACAGATGTTGATGAAGAGAATGAAGGATGAGGCAGAGGAATCTCACCAGGCGGGGTAACTGTTGCTGTTGGGCAATTTTATACTCATTCCGTTCCTCGGCTGGTAGATATTAGGCTGACGTGAGTTTAGTGCGCCTTAACCTGAGACATGACTTAGTATATAACTAGTTAACTAGTTCTTATGCCCCCACTCATCATGGGTATACAGAACTAAATCTGATTGGGGGTCATAATATTGCCAACAGAATCAGCTGCGGCTGAGAGAGACAGAGAATATGAAGACTGTAGCTGAGGAAACAAGATGTAGCCTTGCCAATTGAGTTAGTGTCAACATTCATAAATAATACCAAGAGCGTTGTTTATGATGCTGCAACACCCAACGTCGGCTTGGATGACATCATGTATCACGAACCTCAACATCGCTTTCGGCCCTTGATCTCTTTACAAGCCAACATTGAAACGAATGCCGATTCAATCGCATCTACTTGCCGAAGCCAATCAAACATGACAGCTGAAAGTGTGGATAAGCATTCCGAGCCGCTGTGTCAACCGCGGATGCTTCGGCGTCGATGACATCAAGTCTCAAAGTGACCGAAACACCTGGGATCGCGATGAAGACCTTCTTAAATCCCGGATTCTGCACATAATTCGCAAGCTGCGCAGCTGTACGAAATGTCGTCTCCCAATGTAAGATCCAGTAGCCTCTCATCCGGAACCTCTGACCTGGAAGGGGCTCCCACCTTCGAGGATGTCCGCTCGGAGCCTGTCAGTCGGCGTCAGACGAACATCGATCTCGCTCGTGTAGAAAGTCTTCGTCTGACACACAGATCAACGGTCGGCTCGTCTGCAGGACCAGCACCTCGGGAAGAATGGCTTCCTTTCGGCGACGGGAAGGACTATCCTCCCCTACTACCTGATCCGGAGAAGTACGTTGTTGGATTCACCGGAGTAGATGACCCAATGCACCCGCATAACTGGTCGATGACTAAAAAGTGAGTTGGCATTGAGGCTCAGTCGGAATGCGACGCTGATGGCTGCTTGCCAAATGAAGGGTGCTCCTGTCCTCTATTCTAGCCTACATCACCTTCACCGCATCGTTTGCCAGCGCCATCTTCTCGTCCGCCATTGGCGCCATCTCAGAGAAGTTCAGCATCAGCACAGAAGTTGGCACGTTAGGGGTCACTCTTTATGTGCTTGGATTCTCCGCAGGACCGACAATATGGGCCCCTGCCTCAGAGCTGATCGGTCGACGGTGGCCGATCACGATCGGAATGCTCGGATATAGTATATTCACCATTGGGACTGCAACGGCAAAAGACGCGCAGACCCTTTTCATCACTCGCTTCTTTGCTGGGCTCTTCTCCGCCAGCCCCTTTGCCATCGTGCCGGCTGCCTTTGCTGACATGTACAACAATAGCCAGAGAGGTGTAGCGATTGCCATGTTTGCAATGGCTGTCTTCGTTGGCCCCTTCGCATCCCCTTTCACTGGAGGCTTCATCACAATGAGTTACCTCGGTTGGCGATGGACCATGTACATTTCCGCCATCATGGGATTCTTCGGTGTCGTCCTTCTGATCTTCTTCTACAAGGAAACATATGCTCCGGTGGTCCTGATGGAGAAGGCAGCAACTCTGAGACGTCAGACACACAACTGGGGAATTCACGCAAAGCAGGACGAGGTCGAGCTTGACCTTAACGACCTGATCACGAACAACTTCAGCCGGCCGATTCGCATGCTTCTGACCGAGCCCATCGTGTTCCTCATCACACTCTACATGTCTTTCATATACGGAATCCTGTATGCACTGCTCGGAGCCTATCCTATCGTGTTCCAACGCATCCACGGAATGAGCCTGGGCGTGGGTGGCCTGCCGTTCATCGGCCTGATCGTGGGCGAGTTCGCTGGCGGAATGTACTCCTTGATTGACGCCAGGTATTATGTGCGCAAACTGCGCAATAACAACGACATTCCAATTCCAGAGTGGCGACTGCCACCGGCCATCGTTGGCGGTATGGCCTTCACCATCGGCTTGTTCTGGTACGGCTGGACGGGCTGGACACGGTCCATCCACTGGATGGCTCCCACGGCTTCCGGGTTGTTCACCGGCTTCGGAATTTATGTCATCTTCCTGCAGTGCTTTAACTATCTGATTGACTCGTACCTTCAATTGTGAGTACATATCCGCTGCGCCTGATTCGCGTGCTAATGCGTACACAGTGCGGCATCGGTCTTCGCTGCCAACACCATCCTTCGATCAGCTGTCGGAGCCGGTTTTCCCCTCTTTTCTCGCCAGCTCTTTATAAACCTCGGAGTGCAATGGGCAGGAACGTTATTGGGGTGCTTGGCGTTCATCATGATTCCCATTCCGCTGGCTTTTATCAAATTTGGTCCCCGTCTGAGGCGGCGTAGCAGGTTTGCTCCATCGCCAGCGGTGTTTGAAGAGAAATCAGAGTAGTTCTGAAACAAGAGGGGATCCTTGAATTGGGAGGAAGAGATGGTGCTTGCAGCTTTGCAAGAGGATCATGGATGATGCACAGGCAGCTGTGACGGACAGCTCTACAACGACAAGCAAGATCATAAAAACAGAACAAACTAGACAAACAAACGAGCAGACCATACTCAACCATGCTTTGATCTGCAAGGCAAGACAGTAAATGATAACGGATCCGGGAGGCAGACACTCGGTTCATTAAGGCGGGCGCCAGGCTGCCGGCAGCCCACTGGATTGGGTTAGGATTACACGTCCCTGGCCTGCTTACCTCCCGGCTTTAAGCTGTACTTCCCCAGTCTTTATCGCCGTAGGCTTACATTGGCTGCATGACGTCTTCAGATTTAGTGGTTGGGAGACTGAATCAGAAATGGTGATACTATTTACAGCATCTGGCCATGTCATGCTCCTTGTTCTTGCCGCTTTGAACGACAGCTTGGAACAAACGGTCCAATTCGCACCTCCATGCAGACGGGGTTTTCGCTGGATTATCGTGGTGCATGATGGTTGCAGCGACTTCCCAAAAGGGAAACCAATATCTGATTGGCCAGACGGACGCCAGACACCAAGACCACCGTTTAGTGGCTGATGAGACCAGCTTCAGCTGTGGCATCATGATGGCCCCGAGCCTGATATTGCTGAGAGAGAGTCAATAAAAAGCGGGCCTACAAGTACGGAGGAATATATAAAAGGGAATAAGATGCCCTCCCTTGGAGAAGAGAAATTTGTCCATCCTGCTTATTATTACATTGTGACTCAAGAATCCACAGCCTCATCTAATTCCAGCTGTTCCATTGAAGCTTGCATATCTATACCTACCAAGATGGTGATGCTCCGATTGACCGCCGAGCAGTACCAGAAGCTGCCAATTCTGGTAGACGAGAAGACGTGCATCGGCAAGACCTATATCATCACCGGCGGCAACTCTGGCCTGGGCCTCGAGACGGCGCGACACCTTGTCTCGGCGTCGGCCGAGTGCGTTGTGCTGGCCGTGCGGAATCTCAAGGCTGGAGAAGTGGCCAAGAATGATATTGAGAAGACGACAGGCCGCAAGGGAGTTGTTCAGGTACGTCTGCTGCAAGGTATCCAGGACTTTCACAAAGACTGACCTCTATATATAGGTACGGCATCTAGACATGTCGACCTACGCATCTGTCCAGAGCTTCGTGGAGAAGATTACAGACGAGCTCGACAGGATCGACGGCTTCATCTGCAACGCAGGCATCATGACCGACGCGTGGTCGCAGTCTGAGGGCATGGAGACGAGCATGTTTGTCAACGTCATTGGCACCGTGTTTCTCGGCGCGCTCATGATGCCTAAACTTAAAGAGTGTGCCAGCAAGGACAACATCAAGCCCACTCTCGTCTTCATCGTCAGTGTCCTTGGGTACACCGCCAAGAGTGAGATGGACAAGAGCCGCAACGGCGTCATCTTTGACGGCCTCAACGACCAGAAACGGGGCAATATGGACTCGAGGTAAGATTTACACTCCTATCCCGTCTTCCGGCTTTGCAGCTAACATGCGGTCAAAGATACGCCCTCACCAAGCTCGTGGAAGAGTGCGCCGTACGCCAATTTGCAGCCCTCTGCCCCGTCGAGCGCACAGGCGTCGTCATCACCATGGTCGCGCCTGGGCTCTGCTCCACTGGCCTAGGCCGCGACGCCCGGACCTTCATCAAGATCATGCACGAGGCGGTTCGCGCCATGATGGCGCGAACCGCAGAGGAGGGCAGCCGCACCATTCTACACGGGCTGCTGGTGGGTGAGGAGGGCCACGGCAAGCTGCTGTCCGGCTGCAAGATCAAGGAGTTCTGGGTGCCCACGTGGCTCACCAACGAGGAAGGCCAGAGGCTGCAGAAGGGCATCTGGGACGAACTCGTATCCAGGCTGGAGACTGTGCAGCCCGGCTGCATCTCACGGCTCAAGTAGATCTTGTAACATCGTCCCGAGCTGTACCACAAGAACCGACACGCCCCTATGCGGGAATCGGATGGAACATGACAGGACATCTATGATTAGCTGACATGATAAATGCCGCATTTCCAAAAGGTTACAGTAATATTTATGTCCGCTTTCATTATGATTCCTGTGATGACATATTCCCTGGAATCTTTCTGCTCCCCAGTCGTACATCCTTCCATAGGCGGCAGCCTGGGGCTTCGTGCAACGCGAATATCCAAGGAAACTGACTTAGCTGCCGCTGAATGACAACCCAGCTGTCTAGCTCCAGCCTCTCACAAAGATCGGCAATTAATGGCGATAGCCACCGACAGTCTTTGATATCCAACACCGATATCCCACCTATAAAAAGAATCCATAAGAGTAATGCTGGATCAGAGTCCAAAGACTCCGATGCTGTGACGCAAAGGTCTTGCATGGTCCTTCCCAGACGATCAGAAAGAAGGGGGCAGCTAGATCCATCACGGGTGTATTCGGGTACCAATGTCGTCATAAATGCCAGCATCGCAAGGTATGTCACCTCGCCATAACGTCCTCCGGGCTCAGTAGACGCTTGCATTAGAGGCGAGATATCCACGAGGCGATAAAGGAGCGACACAAGTGTCTCCGTATAGTCTAGAGGGTCAAGCTTCAGTCCCTGCCTCCTCTCTACCTTGTTTAGCAGCCTTGAGAAGCTGAACAGATCGAGCATGATGAGTGGCATCCATGGGGCAGCTCCTGGGGAATGGCCGCTGCCGACGTCCGGGTCGCATAGGACCGGGTGAACGGGTACTTCATCGCCGCGAAACAGGGTGTGTGTGCCATTTTGCATTGCTAATTCAACATCGAGCCTGATAATCTAACTTTAGCTTCACCCAGAAGGGACGAATGCTAAAGTGAGGCAAACTGGTGGCAGTTGAGAAAACAAGAACTTTCACGTACCTCAACGGCTTCAGTGCCAGCGCACGATTCTCTTGCATCAGCCGGGCAATCCCACCCCGCAGCTGAATCATGCGATAGAGCCCGTGGAGATGGACCAGTCCCGTTGCAGGCTGGTGATGTATTTGCTGGTAGATGGCGAGGCTGACCACAGCAGCTATGGCGCTGTCGGATACGGAAAAAGGACCCGACAGTTTAATGTTGACCAAAGCATACGCCTGTGAGATGTGGTGAAGCGTTTTGGGAGATATTGCTGGTTTCCGCTGGAAGAAGTCAACGTAAGATGAGGATATAGCCAAAGTGCTATGAAAATCTGCATTTCTGGTTGTTAACGGTCTGCATGGACCGGCTGACGATGCTGTCACGCACATGCTTCATCTGCTAGAACGTAGTTGACCCAGATCGACTTTATAATATCGTACTTGGTACAGAACTGCGGCGGAAACAACGCATCGCTAATGTCAAAGAACCCTGTGATTCCAACGTCAGGCACAAGGGCACGTGGATGACTAGCCGAATATATGAAGGCAGCATACACCGATGCATGAGCGCCGTGGAACCGGAGTCGAGCTCTTGAGGGAACGAAGTGAGACACAGGTCGCCCCAGAGCACCTGCCGCGGCATCACGTATCCGGATTTTGGAGCATTCAAGACGTGCTTGAGCTCTACAACAGTCTTCTGCTTCTTGGCTGATCGGCGCTGCTTGCCCGTATTCTTGCCTCGCATGACGTGGGAGCGGATGATGCGCCTGTCAGAGCTGCCTATCCCGCTCGGGCTCTGGCTAATAAACTGTAGCGCCATGGTGACAGTGATGATTTCGTGCTATTCAAACGCAACAGGCCTGGCCATCCAGTGGTCCCCTTCTCCGAAAGCGCAGATGATACAGGGAGTGCTGTTGGTTGACGATAATGACACTGGCGATTCGCTCGCATCAGCTGATATCCCCGCCTCATGTTGCATTAGTTAGCTAACTACGCGGCACTAGCGCCACTATGCGTGATTGCAAAGAGGTGGACGAAGACCGCGGCATCTACACAGTAGTTACAGCAACAACAAGATCACGTGCGTAAACAGAACAAACAAGACAAACATCGATAAAGGGAATCACTATGCTACATGATCAATAGCTTGTCTATCAGACAGGCCTCTAAACTCATGCTCTCCCTGTGAGTCGACAATAATAAATAGTATGATATGATCAACAGTGAGCTGTCAGAGCGAATCCTTATCAACTGCTGATAACTCCAGCAATCTCGAGATAGGAGATCGGAGTGATACGAGAACAACGCTTAGTCTCAGCCTAGTCTACTATCTACGTTAACATCACTAGGACGTCAGTCAGGCACGGGAACTTGTGCAATTCCCTCGGTGATGTCCGCTAGATACCTTATACCTTACCATTTCAAGCTCCCTTGTTGCGTTATTCTGCAGTCATAGAAGCTGCAGACTTGGAACCCTTCTATTTCCAGATATTTTTCGCCATCAACTCCATCGAGACCCCGAGAGATCCGTCGACCAATGTCCTTTGGGCCTTCTGAGTCGACCCGCTGAAACCAACGTCCCGATCGGCAATTACCACACAGAACAGAGGCCTCACACTGGACAGAACCACGGACTGCCAAGGACCGCCAAGCTCTCGCCCTCAGAGATAAGCCATTGATCGAATCATATTCTTCCGTTCGAGAAATTTTTTCTCCATTTTTTTTACCCGATTTCTTATCGGTCGCGTGGTTGGTCATGCATGTCATGGAGGGATTGGAAATAAAAGTCGCATCGCGTCTCCAAACTGTGCGCGGGTTTTTCCCTCCGTGACTTTCTATCTGGCTTCAGGCTGGTGATTCTTTCTCCCTTTATTTCCCTGCCCCTTTCTTATTTACTGTCGCATCATGGGGATCACTCAGGCGGTCGACAGAATCAACCTCCGGGTGGCTCAGAGCCCTGTTGGGCGATGGTTTCGCCTGGAGAATTCAGGACATGTCAGTATACCTCTACTTGCGGAGGGTCGGGCCCAAGAGCTCAGAAGAGAAGCTTACCGATGAGACAGCCGAAAGAACGCAAAGGCAGCTACTTCTTCACCGAAATTCGCGCCGGTCTCGCTACCTTTTTCGCTATGGCCTACATCATCAGTGTCAATTCCAACATCACCTCCGAATCGGGCGGGACCTGTGTGTGTCCCCCCGAGAGCCAGGCCGATCTCTGTAACAGCAACACCGAATACCTGATGTGTGTCCAGGAAATCAAGCGCGACCTCGTCACTGCCACAGCTGCCATCGCCGCATTGTCTACGTTTTGCATGGGTCTCTTCTCTAACTTGCCTGTCGCCCTGGCTCCCGGTATGGGTCTCAATGCCTATTTCGCGTACACTGTTGTGGGTTACCACGGCTCCGGCATGATCCCGTATAGCCTTGCTCTCACCGCCGTCTTTGTCGAGGGTTTCGTCTTCTTGGGTTTGACTCTGCTCGGTATCCGACAATGGTTGGCTCGTGCATTGCCAGCCTCGATCAAGCTCGCCACGGGCACGGGTATCGGTCTATACCTTACTCTTATCGGATTGAGCTATAGCGCAGGTATTGGCTTGGTAACGGGGTCTACCGAAACTCCGTTGGAATTGGCAGGCTGCATTTCTTCTCTGCGTGATCCTACGACTGGCATGTGTCCCAGCGATGCTAAGATGCGTAACCCGACGATGTGGGTGGGCATATTTTGCGGTGGTGTGTTCACTGCGCTGCTGATGCTGTATCGGATCAAGGGAGCTGTGATCATTGGTATCTTGCTGGTTTCTATCATTTCTTGGCCGCGACCCACGCCGGTCACCTACTTCCCTCATACGGAGCTGGGTGACAGCATGTTTGATTTCTTCAAGCAGGTGGTGACCTTCCATCCTATCAAGCATACACTGGTTGCTCAGGATTGGAATCTCTCAGGCCATGGTGGACAGTTTGGATTGGCCTTTATCACATTCCTGGTAAGTCCGCGTTCTGAATTTCTCCGCCATCTTGACTGATCAGCGTGTAGTATGTTGATATTCTTGACACCACCGGTACTCTGTACTCGATGGCCCGGTTTGCTGGAACCATCGATGAACGCACTCAGGATTTCGAGGGTAGTGCCCTTGCTTATGTATGTTTCCCTCTCCAGTGTGTTTCTCAATCAATCTGACGATGATCCCCAGATGGTCGATGCAATCAGCATCTCTATTGGCTCTCTCTTCGGCTCGCCCCCTGTGACGGCATTTGTCGAAAGTGGTGCCGGTATCTCTGAGGGCGGAAGGACGGGTCTTACCTCCTGCGTGACAGGTATCTGCTTCTTTATCGCCGTCTTTTTCGCCCCGATCTTCGCCTCTATCCCTCCTTGGGCTACCGGCTGCACGCTGGTGATTGTCGGCGCCCTGATGTGCAAGGCAGCCGCTGAGATCAACTGGCGCTACTACGGCGACGCCATTCCGGCCTTCCTGACCATCGCCATCATGCCCTTCACCTACTCCATTGCCTATGGTCTGATTGCCGGTATCCTGAGTTACGTCCTCATCAATGCCACAGCCTGGCTCCTTGAGAAGGGCTCCGTCGGCCGGGTGGTGCCTCCGAACAGGGACGAGTCGGATCCATGGTCGTATAAGGTTCCCGGAGGATTTTTCCCTCCCTGGCTGCGACGGGCCGCTCGGGGCAAGAAGGACTTTTGGCGCGAAGATGAGGAGGAATCGGTGAATATGGGGGTCGTGCCTGATGGATCCGTCTCTTCGCATGACCGGCCGGAGGGAGAGAAGAGTGGAGTGGGTGTTGGAAACAAAAGCCTTTGATCTATAGCCTTGGTATAATATTGCATAATGTAGCACTTCACACGACGCATCTAGGTAGTTGTGCACCTCGAGATGATAATTCGGGTGTCATATTATTTCATAAATGAAGAATAAACAATGATGACTTTACTTGCGATATAGAGAGAATTCCATCTTGAGATCCCAATACCTCGATATGATAACCTCGATCATCTACATGCATGATACTTACGGTAAGGTGCCGGAGGGCTAGACCAGACCGGCCTGGCTTTATCCACAGGACATTCCATCTTGTCCCGTCAAGAGCATGAGAGATATATTGGAGTTGAATATCACAGAACCACAAGGTAATAATAGCTACCAAGCAATGAAGGAATATCACTACATATCACTTTCCAATAATTCATGCTGCAAGGAATATTCAGTAGATCATTACAATACAATACCGCAGAGAAGCATGAACAGCTTCATCCGCCAATAAGATGGGACGACTCCCTTGGAACAGTCCGGGAATGGCGTAATTAATACCAGCTCTGTCACGGCATTTGAGGTTCCTTACAGGCCTGCTTCGGGTTGAGCGCATCAAGTTCCCCTTCACTTTTGACCCCTTCCGTCATGTTGCATTGAGGCCGATTGCCTTCCCCTTGTTCTACTTGATCTTTCCCACCTTTTCTCAATTATTGGCTCTTCATTGATTCCAAATACCCGGAATGGCCTGAATCCACACTAATACCCCACTCATGGCCGAGTCCAAACCGTCTCCAGCCCCGCCTGGTGGCTCTGGTACAAATGAAGCTCAGCAAAAGCGGAAAAATGTCGGCACAGCGTGCTCGGCCTGTAAAACGCGCAAGCTCAAGGTGTGTGAAGCTGTCAGCTGCCCTATGACTCTGGAAAGCGCTACCATTGACCCCGAGTTCAGTGCTCAGGAACCTCCCCATGCTCCAACTGTATCAAGAACAACGTCGAATGTACCTTCGACGCCAGCGCCGATAAACGCCGCCGCGGCGCCCTAAAGCGCAAGGTCAACCAGCTCGAAGAGAAAGAGGATCTCCTGATTCAGCTCGTCAGCACCCTCCGCGAGAGCGGCACCCAGCGCACCATCCAGCTCCTCAACCTCATCCGCAGCAACGCCTCCCTGGCCGAAATCCAGCTCTACATAGACACGCAGCTGAAGTCCGAGCTGGAACAGACACCGGAGCTGATCGAAGTGTGCAATGAGATACAACGGTTCGAGCAGATGGGGTCGCGGTCGCGGCGTCGTATTCTCGACGCGCAGAGGGCCTCCGTGGAGCCCTTGTTTCGCGTGCCGGCGGCCCCGTGGACGACCGTCACCGAGGATGACGACCATGTATCGCATTTGATTTCGCTGTGGTTTACTTGGGTTCATCCGTTCTACAACTGGATCGATCGGGAGTTGTTTCTGCAAGACATGCAATCGGGTTCATTGGACTCGAAATTTTGTTCGCCATTTTTGGTGAATGCCATCCTGGCCGATGCGTGTGTAGGTCGTCCCAGTTCGACATCTTTGGACTCGCTGGTGACTGGTGACAGGCATACGCGAATTGTTTGGAGTCAGATGCTTCTTCGAGAGACGCGGCCGCCCAGGGTGCCCGCTTCTACAATGAGGCCAAACGATTGCTAGACAAGGAAGAAGGCAGAATCTCCCTTGCGACTGCCCAAGGGCTGGGAGTTTTATGGATATGGTACGTTTCACTCGCTTGCTAGAGCTGGCCTCTGCTGAAATAGCCCAGCGCTTCCATGACCAGGAAAGATCGACATGGCTGGATCCATCAGAGCCAACTTGCGTACGCCGTTCAGGAACTATTTCCGAGCATCACAGCTCCCAAGAATGCCGACGGTGAGGCTCTTGACCTGGCCCGAGCGGCCAATGTGACAGTTTGGGGTTTGTTCAACATCGCGATGTACGCAATGCCGTGTCTTTTACCAGTGCCGGACGGCTAGAACCAGGGACGACTGACCAGTCCCTGGACCCAGGACCCATGCCGTATCGAGTAAGAAGGCGCCTTTGATCAAACCGCCGCGAAAGCTATGCCTCCCGCCGATCACCCATGACCTGGACGCCGACCTGTGGGTACCATATCCAACCGAGTCCGAAAAATTGCAAGCGCATACACTCTGTACGTTCCGAGCCCTCTGTGGTCTGAACGAAATCGCCTACGATATTACCTACCCCCATTTCCAAGGGGAAGTCACCTCGTCAGAGAAGGAAAAGACGGACGAATTGCAACGACGACTGCGAGAGTGGCAAAGCGATCTACCGCCCTGCCTGAAGGAAAGGGACGCTATTGAGGTTCCGCACGTCCTATGTCTTCAGTAGGCTTCTCGTCCCCGACGCGTACGCTCGAGAGGAGTAAATGCTGATTATTTGCAGCATGTACCAGCACACGCTCATTATAACCGTCTACGAACTCTTATGCAAGAGTGAGCGAAATGGTCACTCAGACCAACGACTTTTCCACATGATGCCAGAGACCCACCAGGAGGCCTGTCTGTCATCTGCAAGGAGCATCTCTCAGCTGATGCGCCTTCACCGTTCCGCGTGGGGTGTTGAGCGCATGCCACAAGGCACCAGCCAGCCGATCAACACGGCCTTACTCGTCTTGCTCGAACGGCTGGATGTACCCGAAAACCGTGATGCGTTTATTAACCTCAGCATAGCCGCGAAAGCTGCATCTCGGCGATGGAGCTGGAGCAAAGCTGCTCTGGATAGGATTCGCACGCGGGCTATTATCCATGGCCTTCATCTACCGACCGAGACAGATTCGTTATTTGCTGACTTTGGAAAGCAACCCAAAAATGAGCCTTCAGACGAGTCTGCGTTCACCATGGCCGAAACGATCGAAACCTCAGACGGCGAGGGCTCTGACTTGTGATGCATCGGCTTCGCACTAACCAAGTCAAGTCTTGTAAAATAGATTTAGACTGCGCTGACCTCGACTCGGCTTGTACATTTGTTTTCTGCATAGCCAGTCCTCCTTTCGTCGGATTGAGCTCTCAGGTACCTGACTGCGGAAGCATGGCAGGCGCGAGCGATTACGGTGATCTCAGCAGACGATCTCGACGATATGAGATCTGGAACACATTTGATGTTCCCCGATGATGTGGCCAGTCCGCAAGCTACTGACCTACGCACGGCTCCTGCTATAGTGCTGTGCTACCCTCGGCCGGCGGCCTAGGCTGAGCCTCAATATGTACGAAGAGACCTCCTGAAAGTTTACGCTGATGGTACCAGTTACCAAGCTATGGACATTTGGCGCCCGAGCTTTCTGCACATTAGCAAGTCGCAGATTTGTGCCTCCTCAGCGTTGGAGAGTTAGAATTACCCAAGTGAAATTGAACCAGAACCTTTTATCGGCCTTGTCATCGCGAATCCGCATCATGAGTCTATTAATCATATCTGGCAACCAGAGCGCCATTCCGCATACAAGCATACGCCAACACGTTGATCGTTATCATTGCATCATCAGTCATAAGCACATCAGGCAACCGAGCCACCATCCTTCAGCGGTCTGAGACGTATACGGGGGTAATAGTGCGGGAAATAATGCCACGAGGCCCAGACCAGCACCGTCGCCAACGTGAGCAGCAGCGTGATGACCCAGTACAGCCAGAAATTGCCGGACATGATCCACAACTGCGCACCATTATTACTCGACAGATTGAAGAAGTTTGTCCCGAACAGACCCTACATTCTCAGCCATTTCCACTCATTCAAATTCCTAAACGAGGCTTGCGTTGCACATACCGATATAAACGTCCCCGGCAGATACACCATACTCACAACCGCCACCGTCTTCATCATCGCACCGTCCTTCTGCGAAACTAGATTGAACGCCAGGTTGATCTCGTTGCGCAACCGCTCGCTAAGCGATTTCGACCGCGTCAGGAGCGAATGCAGCTGTTTCGCGACGAAGTGCGCCCGCTGCGCGGTGTGGATCCAGCATCCGCGGTTTTGGTTTGTCAGGGCTTCATACTCGGCGCGGAAGCGCGCCTGCTCGTCGATTAAAGATTGTAGCGTGTGCGTGGCTACTTCGAGGGTCTCGTTTGCGTGGAAAATGTGGCGAGCGATGTCGTGGAGGTTGGGAAAGTTGAGGGGGGGAGGGCGTGGCTCATTGCGGGCCTAGGTTTTTAGTTCTGGTCATTCTATTCGGAAATTACTTTCTGCTTGGGATGGGCGGGGGTTACCTTCTCGATCGGCCGGACCAGATCCCGCAGAGACCAGATCGACTTGTCGTATTCATTGACTACGCCTTGGGCGAAAAGCGTGTGCCAGATGTATGGGTTGCCCCGCTGGTTTGGGGCGGGGCGATGCGCGGCGAGATACTCTGCCACGATGTCCGGGAGGTTCAGGAAGAAGACAAGTTGGCGGTTTTCTTCTTGCGGGTGCCATTGGACAAAGACGGCTGTCTGGACCCAGGCGTATTTGCCTGGTTTGACGACGTGTTTGATTTTGAAGCAGGTCCATGATACTATACCAGATCAGTGTAGGAAGGTTGAGCGTGGGGGATGGACGGACAATGCTTGGTGACTTCTCCTTTATCGTCAATGTCATAGTCGCAGAAGAATGTCCCGTTCAGGTCTGCCTGAATGACGGGGAAGAAGTCAGGAGGAAAAAAGACGTCTGGGTTCTTGTGCTTTAGAACGGGCGAGACTTTGATGCTTTTTTCGGGGTAATTGGCGTATCTGTTTTATCCGGTATGAGATTATGCTAGCCAGAGCCGGAGAAGACCTACAATAGAACTATTGAAGGTGGTTGATGTTGGTAATTCTCTAACTCCTCCCACAGATTCGCCTGTCGCGATGTCCAGGTGTGCTCATCTATCGATGCTAAGTATTGTAGACCCTCAATTAGATCCGGCGGGTAAAGAAACGTACCATTTTCTTCAACAACAGTCGCTATATCCACTTTCTCATCGACATAATTATCCATTGTTGAGTCTTGTCTCGCCCTTTATTAGATGAGAGGCCGAAGAGAGTAAGAAAAGGAGGAAGTCGGACGCTTCATCTTATAACTGTATGTGGTGGCTGTGGCAGCACTAAATCTGCAGCGATACGCTGGCGGCCGTTGACCCTGGGCGTCTCACTTCACCCTCTGGCTGCAGATCTAGCCTTGTTTGCAATTCTAGCCTTAGCCTTAGCCTCAGCCTTGCGATATCTGGTAGCCTGCTCGATAAATTAGTGACCGATAATTGTCATACTCATATATAACAGGTAAAGTGCGTACTTCCATAAAAGACTATGGACTGTCTCACAGCCACCCCTGTAGCTCCCCATACTCAAACGGTTCAGAAATCTCAACTGAGTTATTCGCAATCACATAAAAAGATATCCTGGGAATATTTTCCTAAAAGACTGCGAACAAATTCTTTAGGGAGAGGTATTGTCCGAGTTCCTGTGATCGCAGTCGATTGCCTGCCATCCATTGATTCCGAAAAATCTACGCTGACACGCAGCGTGGGAGGAACGAATATATCTGGAAAAAGGGCAGCGTTGTCAGTAGTGATTTCCATCTGGGGTTGTTGGTGCAACGATTGAAACATCTGGTAGGTGTCCGTTTGCGCTGATGTCGACGTAACTTGCATATCAGGCGTCAAGGACAGAGAGATATGGTCAATTAGAAGAGAAAATTGTTACCAACTTGCAAGAAACCCTTCTTCAAACCTGATGATGACGAAGAGTAGCACTACTGATCGTCATTAGGAAGGCTAATCAACCGCTCCATCTACTGATGATGATGAATGTGCTTCGACATCGGAGAGGGAGGAGGCCACTGGGAAAATGATTGTGCGTCCAGTATGTCTGATGTGTTGACTTGTTTCGCCCCGCTCTGACGACTGTCTTAGCTGGTATAAATCATTATATGGGAATGGGCAAGTCAGGAATATGCAAGTGTCGCGCCAGCCTTGCCTGACACCTATTCCACTATACCTCACCTGACTTAGGAGATGCTGATATATGAAGCCTTCATAGACTTGGTGTCAATAGTTCTGATTTGCACCCCGTATCATCCACGTCGGTCTGTAATGCACCACATCAGTGTACTGTGCACATTTGTTTCCGGTCATCTCAATACATACACTCTTCCACAGAACAAATGGTTCTCAAGCTTCTCATACCCTAAGCGGCCACATACCTAGTCACTAGGAGTATGTTGCAAACCTGTTCACCGCTTTATACGGATTGTTCCTCAGACCCTCAACAAAGCCTCTAACTGTGCGTGCGGCACTACTCCTTTACTCACCGAAGACCTTCGAACAGTCTGAGATCGAAGAGTTTCGGCAAGAGACCCTTGAGGCAATATCTGCCACAGCTTCTGTTCAGCATTTGCATCTGAGAGACCTCTACCTAGCAGCGGATGCACGCCGAAAAATGACACAGAGACCGATGGGCGTGTTGACGGTATTGAAGAATGAGAGTCGCTGATGATTGCTACTAATATGCCAGGGAACAAGTTCTATATCTATTGCAGAGGCTTCTGTCGAGTACAATGCGTGGGCTGAAGTATTGTCGAACAACGAGATTATAGAGCTCTGGGGAAAGCATCGGCCAACCAAGCACAGCCAGAATTTTCGAGGCATACAAGACACCAAAACATCAACATGTGACAGCAAAATCAACATTATTCATGCTTTATTTAGCAAAAAGATCATTGATATCCTTGATTGGGTAATAATGCCTCTAACCGAGTTTGAGGAGGTCCACCCGATCAGCTTGGGTTTCTGTCATGGTAGTTCGGATCCTGGCGATTGTTCAGCCGGACCATGCAAACTATTTGCAAGTTGCAGCTGCAGCTGCATTAGGCCAGCCACCGACTTTCCCACATCTTGCAACAACGATAACACAGGATAGGAGAATTTCTCGTCAGAGATAAAGATGTGGGGAATCATCTGGCAGCCGAAATGAGTGTTAAATCAGAACTCATCGATGCCTCCCGCATAGACCTTCCAAATCTCGCGTAGCGTCACTCCTCATGTTGTGAGATGGTCAGGTGGAGTACGTTACATGGACCTGCCGATCTTCTGCATTGTTTCCCGCATCTTATCTGCAAGTATTCAAGGAGCAATTGGTGCTAATGCAGAAGTGGAGTTGACTGGGACTGCTGCTGAGCTGAATTGTAGTCTCCAGTTGGAGCTGTAAGGTCAGGCATAAAGGCCGCATGCGCCCGCATTCCAGCGCAGGCTTTTTCTCAAGCATTGCGCTCTATTACCTTGCATCAACTTTGTTCTAACGATGCATCTTCAACTGGGTTTGGCTGCCATCGTGGGCTGCGCATTTCAACCTGTCGCAGCGTACGTAGCTCAGCAGCCACGATCTCAAGAGGGAAAATGCCAGAAAACTACGGTTGCAATCTTGTAAATGCATATCTTATCTTTTTTCGTATATCCATATTTGCTAACCCTCGCAGAGGAGCCGGGATGGCAGGAATCAAGGCTGCTGTATGTTGAACATATGCCTGGACGCATTCAAATCTGACCGTAACAGCAAACTTTGTCCAATGCATCGATCCATGACTTTGTCATTCTAGAATACCGTGACACAATCGGAGGCCGCGCTTGGCACACGAATTTTGGCAAGGACGAAAATGGAGATCCTTATGTCGTGGAGTTGGGTGCCAACTGGGTATGTCATTCCTCGTTTGTGTCGAACCACTCTGACCTTGAACAGATCCAAGGCATTGGGACTCCGGATGGGCCACAGAACCCTATTTGGACACTAGCCAAAGAGTTCAACCTCAAGAATACATTTTCCAACTATGACAACGTCTCCACTTACAATGAGAACGGATATGCCAACTACTCGCATCTCTTTGAGGAGTTTGACGCCGCCGACGAGATTGCCAATGCCGCGGCTGGCACGATCCTACTGGAGAATCTACTGGATCAGACAGCTCGGACAGGCCTCGCTTTAGCTGGCTGGAAGCCCAAAAAGACCGACATGGAGGCGCAGGCTGTTGAGTGGTGGAACTGGGGTAAGTCTGGCCGGTCTCCGACAGGAATGAATTTAACCGTATTAGACTTCGAGGACGCTTATTCACCACTCGAGAGCTCTCTGGTATTCGGCTATGCTGGGAGCAACCTGACCTGGAATGGCTTTAGTGACGAGGACAACCTTGTATGGGATCAGCGCGGATATAACACCATCATCAAGGGCATGGCATCGCAATTCCTCAAGGCGAACGACACACGGCTCCGTTTGAACACGCAAGTCACCAACATCACTTATTCCGACAAAGGAGTGACGGTGTACAACAGCGATGGTACTTGCGTTCAAGCGAAATATGCCCTATGCACATTTTCCTTGGGTGTGCTGCAGAATGACGCCGTCACCTTCACACCGGATCTGCCCTACTGGAAGCAGACGGCGATTGAAAAGTTTACCATGGGCACCTACACCAAGATCTTCCTTCAATTCAACGAGACCTTCTGGCCCTCAAACACACAGTACTTCTTGTACGCGGACCCTAAGCTTCGTGGCTGGTATCCCATCTGGCAATCCCTCTCGACGCCTGGTTTCCTGCCCGGATCCAACATTCTTTTCGTCACCGTGACCAACCAGTTCTCCTATCACGTCGAGAGCCAGTCAGACGAGGAGACTAAAGCCGAGGTGATGGCAGTGCTGCGCAAGATGTTCCCGGACAAGGACATTCCAGAGCCGACTGCATTCATGTATCCTCGCTGGAGTACCGAGCCCTGGTCATACGGAAGCTACTCGAACTGGCCCGCAAGCACCGGCCTGGAGGAACACCAGAATCTGCGCGCCAACACCGGCAGACTGTGGTTTGCAGGAGAACACACGTCTCCAAGCTACTTTGGGTTCCTGCACGGAGCCTACTTTGAAGGTCTTGATGCCGGACGACAGATCGCGGCACTCTTGCAGGGCCGCTGCGTCTACTACAATTCGACGATGGAACGGCTGTGCGGCCCTCGTACGCATTACGAGACACTGCATGGAATCACGCCTCTGGCTGATTATAGTGCAGTCAATGGCTGGATTTCCAACAGTTTCTACGATTACAATGATGAATAGTCTGTAGCCTAGACTTGTGTTGGTTTATTTATCTGGAGTCAGGAATGCTCTAGCAGTTCAAAAGATTTGCACTACTAGCGATCACCATGAGTTCTGTGAGGGTTAATATATATCCCTTATCCCAGGCTACGCAATGTAGTTTACTTTACGTCAGGTACCTGTGTAGAATAAGCTTATGATAATAATCATAATATTGTGATCTTATTCATGATCTACAGACATCCCAGTCTGGATCTGTAAACAGAAGATAGGAACCTTAAGGTCTGAACTTAAAGTACATAGATCCCCTTTCCTCCTCTAGATTCCACTAACTGGTGCGGTAAAGCGCAGAAGATAAAGATGCAGAAGCGTTCCACACCCTGGATGATCACTGGATGATTCATCTCGGCTGTCCATTGAAGTCATCTGCTATGACCTGGATTTCAGTCACCATTGGCTCCTCACCAAAGGTAGCACGGGCAATCTGTATATCGTGCAGCTTCTTCCTGTCGTTCAGTAGGTGGCTTGACTGGTGGATCAACAGTATTGGACTCTAGGCCCTGAAGTTGTTTCGAGTCGGTCACAAGGTCGGGCCCGCTGGGCCTTGGGGGAAACCCCTCGGAGCAGGGGGGACTAGCCGGGCAACCGGCCGGCGCCCCGCAGCACTGGGGTGGGGACGCCCTTGACAGGCTTCGGCCGTCCGGCGGGCGCTTAACGACCAACTTAGAACTGGTACGGACAAGGAGAATCTGACTGTCTAATTAAAATATAGCATTGCGATGGCCTCGAGGGAAACCATTTTGAGCTCGGTGGAGGGTAGCCCGGGAATGTCGACTGGTGTTTGGATCGATGAATCACTTGACGCAGTAGTGCTTCTTGCGAGGCTGGTCACAAGGTCCAGCATAAGCCATAGATCATCAGCTTGTAAGGTCCCCGATTTGCATGCACTGTTAACCGGTAGGCGCCTAGGATATAATTAGTAAATCTTACTATCACTTAAGACTGCTACTTACTTCTGAACAAATTTGTTAAAGTTTGCTCCGCGATCTCCTGTAGAGCATCAACTGCAGTTCTGGTCATTCTGAAGCTCTGATCCGGCTGGACATCATCAACAATTTTTTGAACAAGGCGTCGAAGGGTCTTCTGCGGAATGATAGTCCCAATATTCTGTTGATAATGATTGTTTTCACGCAATGGCCCCACAACACACTGGTAGTCCATTCCAGGGTGATAAAAGGCCTCCACCCAGAATGGATCGTGGTTGAGGTTTGCAATATAACAGGACATATCGACCGCCGTGTTATACAGGGGTGTCACTCATTAAGGACTTCTTCCAACTCCTCATCGTCCAAGACTTGCGGTTGTTCATCAGTAGGCTCGAGCGATGACTGCTGGAACTGGTGTCCCACCTTGGAGGTAGATGCGACAACCTTAGTTGCACAACTTAATCGACGGAAGGAGAAATCTCCCTCCATCTGGCGACGATGTTAGTATCGTGCCGACCATCCACCCCAGGGGTTTCCTCCGGACGTCCTACAAGAGCGTGTCAAGCGGTGCGTGGAACTGTGTGAAAATTACACGACCGGTTTAAAACCGGACGTGAGGGCCTTCCAGTCTCGCAACCGACTGATGGACCGGGTCATGATGGTTTTGGCCTCGTGGTCTGTGACGAGAATCGCCAGCAGCTGTCTACAGACAAGGCTGATGCCCAAGAACACTCACAGAGCAGAGATATGCCCTGAGGAATTGAACGGAAAGATAATGTGTCGCAAGGGTAGAAGATCGGCGACTCCCTTCTGCAGCTTGGGCTCGGGCTTGGGCTCAGGGTAGGCATGCGGAAGCTGAAGAGGAGACCTGTCGTCTATAAAAGAATAAGCCATCCGCATATGTTTGAAGAATAAGTAAAGAATAGATCGATGACTTCTCCGGCTCCCCATGCGAACGGCATGACAGGAAGAAAAAGTCAATGTCAGATAGGCGCCATGCCCCCGTTCTTGATGATCAAGACATTTTGACATATATGGATGGGGCCCCACCATCCATAGTCTCATGTCGTCCATAAGTCGCCGGTGGGACTCTGGCCATCCGATCTCAATAACAAACGAAGGTTGGTATTGATTGTCTGGCTTCAGGCAATAATCGGGGATTTTTCTCGAGTTTGCGTAAGGGCCAGTGAAACGTGATTGCACTGTCCAGACTTAGCAATTTCGCGTATAGGATAGCAGCAGAATACTCACATGGGCTCATGACCATTGTCAAATTCCTCAGCTGCCGACCTCTGACGAGATTCTTGTTCGAGTCTTGTGGTGTTACCACTGTTGTTTGTGTCTGATTGGCGGTATGGCCAGCAATTAAAATCCTCATCATCCCTGGAAACTACTTGAATCATAATCGTCGTCGCGGTGTCTCCTGTGACGTCTAGATCGGCGTGTGCGAGACCTCTGTCCCGAAGAACGACGCTGAGAGCTTTTTGATCGGTCGTTTTGAGCGGAGCTGGGCAAGTATTGCTAACAGTATGATGTGCGCTACTGCCACATGCGCGAATGTGTGACGTTCAGGGAGTAATGATTATCCATCATCGTCTTTCATATTGTGTTTTTCTCGCTTCCAACGTGTCCGGGCTTCATCGGCATCAAATTCTCGGGTAATAACGCATCGATGTCGATCACGTACTCCTCGGCAGTGAGAGTTGCGTTGATCTTGGTGTCAACGAAGGCCCTCAGTACAGACTCCCCATTTCAAAGGAAGTCAAATGTTGAGCAGTTGGTAGGGACACTTACGGGCCAGAACCCTGAGATCATTTTTGCGAACCCAAGGTATTTGCGGTCATAACCAAAATGGACAACTGCTAGTTTCGAATTTGACCCCCTGTGATTGTGGCGAGCCCTAGCCACACCGGTCGACTGGGCGAACCACAGTATGATGGTAATTCCCATCTGCCGGAGAATAAACCCGTTGCGCGATATGCGGGCGCTTGGAGACACCGGTAGCAATAGTGGGCCGGAGGGAGAGCAGCAGAAGCCGATATACCACTCCAGTATCTGTGAGAGATCGTAGGCGTTGTCGAGCATCCCCTCGGCCGTCTTGCCGACCCAGCTAGGGCTTTGTCAACAACAGAAGCAACCACACGTACAGTAGCGCAAGTCGAACTGCGCTTTGAGCACTGCTTGCGCAAGATCGACTTTATCACATCGAGTGTGCAGTTTATTTCTAATGGCTGAGGGCTGGCGGTATCGTATTCATTCAGCGAAGTGCGCAGGCAATGCATGCACCACAAGGAGGCGGCAATAAGAGAACCAACTCTACAGACGCGCATCCATAGATCTTTATCATTCCGCAGATGCTGGAAGGAGGATTCAGACCAACCTGCTTCAATAACAATTGAGGGGAAAGGAAGGCTGTCAGGTTCTGAACTTAAAGTACATAGATCCCCTTTCCTCCTCTACATTCCCCTAACTGGTGCGGTAAAAGTGCAGAAGATAAAGATGCAGAAGCGTTCCACACCCTGGATGATCACTGGATGATTCATCTCGGCTGTCCACTGGAAGCCATCGGCAATGACCTGGACCTCGGTGACCACCGGCTCCTGGCCAAAGGTGGCACGGGCAATCTGCATAATGTGGGCGACAACACACTGGTAGCTCATGCCAGGGTGGGAAAAAGCCTCAACCCAGAATGGATCATGGTCGAGGTGCACATCGGTGGTAGTATCATGAAGAGCAAGTTCAATGAGTTGCGCATCGTCGGCAAAAGGAGCATTGCAGTTCAGGCACTGGAGACATGATGGCTATTATCATACTAGCCAGTCTGATGACTGAAAAAAGGGAAGAAGAGACAGAGGTTTTTAATAAAGAATGACAGATAAAAGATAAAGATCGGGAGGCCTTACCTAAATCACCCCTGGTTCAATTGATAAGCAGGAGAAGTTGCTGAGGAGAAGGAGGCTGTGGTAGTAGAATAAACAGGAGAGAAGATTCAGATGGACTAAGAGGTAGAGCGCAATGGTAGTTGATGAGATTATAAAAGAAGTCTGGTTCTTGGGAAGAACCTTGTAGATTCCGGGATTCAGGTGCTTCTGTTGGGTTGGAAGGCTGATGTTCCTCCTCCTTAATAGACTTGATAAATTCCTTGAGTAGCTCGTTCGACATGACGGCCGATGATCAGCTCGGAGGGGTATAGCGCTATAGTTATAATCGACGATTGGGGTATTTAGTGGAGATGGGGGGGAAAGCGAGCGGGAGTGAGGAAGGATGAGAAAAGGCGTGCTCGGTTGGAAGAGTTAGCAAGATGGTTTGGTGGTAGTTATTGGTGGTAAGAGTGCACAGCAGTACGTTATCAGGTTGTCTCTAGATGAGGGCAAAGTGAGGCAAAATCAGTGAAGGCTAAGATGGTATTAGTAGCATAATAACCTAGCAGAAGTGAACAGTACGTACTCGTGCCAACACCACCACAAAGAGGCGGACTTCATCGCGATTTAAGAGACCGTCAAGAGGCCATTCCCCAACAGCAGCTATAGCCCACCGCTGGTGGACATCGTGCAGTTCAGTCGGCATATTCTTGATTCTGAGGACTCGGGTATGCGCGTTAAAGCTGACCCTATTATAAATTTTTATAAAAGGTCAAAGGAAACTATTAACAGCAAGGGCACGGCCCCGTTGACACGTACAGGAGCAGCCAGAGGCGGCAGCGGCTGAACCGGCCCTTCCCTATTCGCCTCGCTTCGAGAACTCGACCCTGGCGTAGGGCGTCATGAATATTGGACTCAGCAGCAAACGTAAGAAGCGCGGATGATATACTGCGCCAAAGATCGTACCTTGAGGAGAATGAGAAGCACAAGGATAAAGTTTACATTGATGTGGATGGCGGGAGCACAGCGACAGCCACCATGGTAACTGCAGCAGGAGCCGGCTGTCGTAACATGTTAGCTTTCATTCAGAGGATAATCGCCTGAGTGTATACTCACCTGATGGTGATGATTGTTATGGTGGTGCTGGAGAACCAGTGAATCAATGGAGGGTTGCATGAGCGACAGAGTCCAACCGACTGGGCACAGTAATGGCATTTTGTCCACTCCGGAAACGTATCTTCACAGGGTTTGCCTGGAAGAGTCCGGCCTGGAGGCGACTGCTACGCCTCTAGAAGGCACTTTCTGAGTCGGTTCCTCGACGTCTTAACCGAGTCCCACAAGTATTCCCGAAACGAAATACCAGAACTCCCCTTAGCTAATTATGAACTAGTTGCGTAACTCGTTCGATATCTCCCCGGTAAATAAAGAACCATGAGAAACACGGTCATCGTTGCGATACCATGCTCCCTCCGTTCTCACAACTATGGGATCGATGCGGCACAAGATGTTGAAGTAATACACCCAAGGTCAATCTTGGAAGCATTCGGGCCATTGCTGCCTTAATTGTCGGATCTCATCCTCCCTTTTGTCATCGCCTGTTGCACCCTCAATTCCCACATTCAGAGAGCAGTTTTGAAGCGGGATAACTAAGTGCCATCCGCTTCCATGGTGTTGCGTGCGGACCTGGTCAGGTCGCGGTGTATATTAGCGCGACCCGCCCACGTTAAGCTCCATTTTTTGCAGTGATATCCGGTTTGTTTGGTTTGTGAGTGGCAGGAAGGGGCTTCTGTATATAGCTGTGGCCAGCGACCATGGAATGCTGCTTGACAGATCGTCGAGATTCTCCGCAACATCTAGGACGCGGGCTATCTTCTCCTCGACCATGACAAAACTCTGCCGTGTTGACCAGAGGGCCATATATGTTCTGAGAACCTCTTCATGATGGAGCCAAGGGTTGTTATGGTCTGCAATCTCCTACATGTTCGCACCCTCGGCGTCGTAGTTTGCCGATCAAAGGTGGTTTCGCAGCTCACGTCCTTCTCGACAGGAGAAACCAGGCGAAATGCTAGTTTGGCCAGGTAGTTCGGCTATAGAGCTGCTGCATGGTTGGGCAATGTGCTTTGGCTTGGGTTTAAGCTAAGCTTTCTTGGACTTCCAAAGCCAATAATGGTTTTGGAAGAGACAGAAACACAGCTTCTGTCAAGTGCGGAGAGGGAATTGGCATTTCATAGCAGCAGGACATCAATCCTGTCCCCATTCTCCTGCAGCATTTATAAAGGCAGCGGGCCATCGAGTAATCCCATCCTTGTTCTGTATACCGGGCCAAGTGTGGCATTTGGACGAGAACGCTTTTGCGAGAGACTTGCAAAGAGAAAGCTGTATAAGATTTCCCCAGCCGAACAATATGGCATGACGGCGATGGAGAGTGACAGTGTAAGAGAAAGATCATTTTGTGAAGAGAACTCAAAAGTTGTATGTGTCGGCATACAATAGACAGGACGAATCACAGTGAATAGCTTACGCTACTACTTGAAATAAGTGAATGCAGAGGCTTTTTCATGAGTATATTGCTCAGATTCACATGCAGCAAGCAGACAGAGTGAATACTTTAGTCCAGAAGTAGTGGGTAGGCACGCGGGTAGTATAATTAAAAGGAATATAGTCTATAGCGTCAGAGAAAGATGGAAAGGTTTGCAGGGAGGAAGTCTTGCTTAAATAATATTAGAGAACTATGCTATTTGTTTGCTATTGACTTTCCATTATAGACAAACTTGCCACTACACAAGGAGGATAAGGCAGTGCCATTGTACAAGACGACAAGGCTGCTCTATAAAGCAGGTCAGATCTTAACCGTCAGTCTGAGACAGGCAAATATACATACCTCGATCATCCCTTTCCTTCACAATACCCTCTAGAACATACTCACACTCTCTTCCTGATCCATTCACTGTGGCTATTGAACTCAGAAGTTCAAATGACGGCCACACTCTACCCCATTACATGAAAATTCCTGGGAGCATGGGCAATGCATGACCAAGCTATGGTCATGATCAAGAAAATCAGTTTTGATGGGGAGAAATGAGTAGCCCACTTTCTTTCCAGCAGGTGCAAGGGTACCTAGGCTCTGCTATTGACCTTTTCCATTGTAGATCTCTTTGCTTGCTACTACATAGGGGTATTTGGTCATTCAAGACAATAGAGCAGATGTTTGTCAGTTGGGCTTTGCTCACTGTTCAAAGAGATTCCTTTGTCGAATACAGGTGCAATTGTCCGTCTGAAAATTAAGATGGGCAGTGTGGGATCCCACGCGAACAAGTCGGCCACTCCCTGAAGTAGAATGTCATGTTCTTCTAGATCTGGCGAACGTCGAAACTCTCAAGGGCTATATAGCCGACTTGGAGGGGGATCTCCGAGGCTATACAGAGCAGTGTGGAGATGAGGGGTAGCTCAAGCTCCCGCGGCCTAGGCACCATTTCAGATCATATAGAAAGAATGCGCATTGCTAACGATACATAATTTCAACTCAACTAAAGATCAAATGGCGCAATCCACGTCCTCAGCGGAAACACGTACGGAAAAGCTGGCCCGATGGGCAGCCAACCTCCAATACCACGACCTCCCCGAGGAAGTCATCCAGCGCACCAAGGAGCTCTTCATCGATTGGCTGGGTTGCACGATCGCCGGACGACATCACCCAGCCGTCGCCGCTATAGTGAGATTCGCGACGCAGATGGGCCCGTCCTCAGGGAAAAGTGAACTCATTGACGGATCGCTGGGGTTAACATCGTCTCCTGCCTTTGCTAGCTTGATAAATGGTGCTTCGTCGCATGTAGTTGAGCAGGACGACTTGCATAACCGGAGCATCATGCATCCTGTATGTTCATCTAGTTCGTCACTCGTTTGAGGCTAATGATTAGGCGACGGTGATATTCCCCGCTGCGCTGGCCGTCGCACAGGACATCCATGCCGACGGCAAAGAGTTCATCACCGCCTGTGTAGTAGGGTATGAAGTCGGCTGTCGGACCGGCGGGTACCTTGGAAAAAGCCACTACGAGGTATGCATGCAATTCCCGGGCGCATGTAAACGAACCTAAGACGACGACCGTGCAGAAATTCCACTCCACCGCCACAGGAGGCGTCGTCGGCGTCGCAGCCGCTGTCGCGCGTCTTCTACACCTAGACGTCAACCAGACGCTCTCCGCCATCGGGACAGCAGGCACACAGGCAGCGGGACTCTGGCAATTCCTCCTCGACGCCACACACTCCAAGCAGGTACACACCGGCAAGGCCTGCTTCGACGGCATCTTCGCCGCCTACAGCGCGCGCGACGGCCTGCTCGGACCGCGCGACATCCTCGAGGGCTCGAGAGGTATGGGCGCCGCGCTGGTTCCTGGGGAGACGAGCCCAGAAGCCATCGGTCAGGGGTTAGGGTTGGATTATGCGGTTCTGGGGTCGAGTTTCAAGTGGCATGCGTCCTGTCGGCATACGCATCCCAGTGTGGATGCTTTGTTGGCGTTGATGGCGAAGCACCAGGTCAAGTTCCATGAGATTGACTCGGTCGTGGCGAGGACGTATCAGGCTGCGATCAATGTCCTGGGGTTGACGGGCCGAGGCGAGACGGTCCATCAGAGCAAGTTCTCCATGGGGTTTGTTCTTGCAGTTGCGGCGAAGAACGGCCAGGCGATGATCACGGACTTTACGGAGGAAGTGCTGGAGGACGCCGAGCTGCGAGAGTTTCAGCAGCGAGTAACGATGGAGCTGGACCCAGAGATTGATGCGAGATTCCCCAAGCAGTGGCAGGGGACGATTGTCGTGGTGTGCAAGGATGGTAGGCAGTACACTGAGTCCGTCGAGTATCTGAAAGGGGATCCTGAGAATCCATTAACAAGGTATGATATTCGCAGTTTTATAGGGCAATGCTAATTCTTCGAAGAGCCGAACTCGAAACGAAATTCCGGGCGTTGGCAACGTACGGAGGAGTAGCAGATACCACAAAGGTTGCCAATCTGCTGCAAAAAGGATGGGGTTTGGAGTCTCAAAGCACTCTCCATGGCTTTTCTTTCTAGCTTCTCGCTTCGAAGAGATATCCCACAATTGTATCTGAGTGCGTACACAGTCAACTCTCAGGAAACTCATGCGGACTGGCGTGCACAATCGGTGTGTTGTGGTCTCAAGAAACGGTGCTGTGGCGTCAAACCCATAGACATTATGAAGATCAGCTGGTTTTGTAGCAAGACGCCCATCTTCTTGAGGGAATCTTATAATGGCCCAGCTCCTTCTCCTATGCTGCCAAAGCACATAGAGACTGGAAGGATATTGTGTGCCGTATAAAGTTGTAGTCATATTTATTGACGCCAATGGCCATATAAGTGTGGTCCTCACTAATATCAACGATTTTAGACGTGGTGTTGCGCAATAGACGCTCTGTATCAGACTTTATCAGACGGTCCATCAGATGTTGAACATAGTAAGTCCCGAATGACTGCAGGCAGGCCAGGTACAATCTTAGTCTCACAAGATACCACCGCAATCTTGGAATGAAGAGACACCGAATCCACCCAGCACTTCGCCCTAGAAAGAGGAACCATCGCCTTACGAAGTGATGCTGCAGTCAGCGCCTCCGGACTGTCTGACAAACCTCGAGGGACCACGCACGAACTCCCACTAGACTACCCCGTGTATTACTTTTTCTACGGAACATTATCAGTTGCTGCAAACCTGAAGAGGATCATCGATCTGCAGGAACCCAGACTCCGCGAGGCGAAAATAATCGGTTATGCGCTGGCCAAGTGGGGTGATTACCCTGCCTTGATTAATGGACAGCAGGGACAGGAGGTTTCTGGGTATGTGTATCTGGTACAGTGCAAAGAGAAGGCTCAAAAACTTGCTTATTATGAAACCAACACATACCTAGTTGCAGACTGCTGGGTATTCTTCACGGATGACGAAGAGCCATCAGAGGCACCCGGAAGAACATTTACGTATGCTGGCGATGCACAAGCTTTGCTAGAACGATTCCACCGCAAACTTTGGACTCTGCAGATGGGTGGGAAATTGGGATTCTGTACTAAGTGTATAGAGCGGTCACAGTAGAAGACGTTCAAGATAGAACAGTCAATTGTGTATCAGCGGTTGCCCTACTCTGCTAGTCCTCGATGGCACTTTTTTGCAGAAAGGTAAAGCCAGCTTCATATAGCTCAATAGTTGAAAAACTAACATCAAAGGTGCTATGGTCTAGGGGTAGGACGCCACGTTGTGGCCGTGTCAGCCCCGGTTCGATTCCGGGTAGCGCCAATTCTTTTTTCTGCCATCTTTTTTGCCTTTTTATCTCTCCCTCCATTCTTTGTACTTCGACATCATTTTCCTCCATTTTTTATTTTTCCTTTCCCTTTTCCTTTTTTTTTTTTTTTTTTTCTTTACCCCTGAATGAACAAGGTTTCATTCGAAGAAACCACTTCTAGCTACACCTTTGTTCCGCGCATCGTAGCCCTACTGGAAGAGGTAGTACATGCTCAGGGCATTCGACCCTCCACAGACTTCAGTCGAGTCGCCAGCACAGGGCGTCGCACAGCCCGATGTAAGCGCACCACCATTATCAATTGAGTTCCCACAGAAGCACTGCGTTCCAAACTCCATGCCCGCATACAGATAACCTCCCGCCTTACAGGCCGCCTGGCACTTCTCCACTGTGTTCCCCGCAACATTATACGAGACGGCCAGCGTGCGCGCCTTGGTCGAGTCGGAATAGCAGCCCAGACTCTGCCAGATTGGCACGACAACGTACAGGCTGAGCGCGTTGGAGCCGCCGCAGACCTGCGATCCGTCCGCGGGACAAGCGATGTTGCACTGCGACGCGGGGACAGAGGCGGCGTTGTTCATGGTCGCCGTGCCGCAGAAGCATTGAGTTCCGAACTCCATACCTGCGTAGGTGAAGCCGGCCTGGGCGCAGGCGGCCTGGCAGGCTTGAACCGTGTTGCCTGAGACGAGGATGGAGGTGTTGAGGGTGCGGTGGTTTGTGTCGTCCGCGTAGCAGCCGAGGCTGCGCCAGCGGAGAGTCGTGTCGATGCCGCAGACGCCGTAGCCGGTTTGACAGCCTGCGCCGCAGTAGACGGGCTGGCTACCGCAATAACCGAATTGGCTGCAGCAGGCGCCGAAAGCACTGCCGGCGCAGGTTGCGCTTCCGTTGTAGGCGCCGCAGAGTCCGTTGAGGGAGACGGATTGTCTGGGGAGGAGGGCGTTCTATCGTATGGTGTACCCATTAGTTGACCTTTGGCCTTGTAATGTGAGAGGACTTGATACATACATCCAAGGGAGTGGGAGTGGCAGAGGCCACGAGAAGTGTGGAGAAGAGCAGAAACAGGGCCATGGCAGGCAAGTATCAGTTCGGGCCAATAGTTTCTGAAGTAATTGATGTGGAGAACGCAGATAACGGTAGGGGATGTGTGCTATTATGCGCTCTTATTTATATCCATAGCCGCTAAGATCTGTCTCTTCACCGTTTCCCTGCCTTCGGCAGCTCCGAAACAGCTCTTGTGCTTTGGCCTCTAGGGCATACATCCACAATAGTTCGAAAACCTTATACAAGACAAGCCCCAAGGAACATTGGACGTAATTCAGGCGAGCATTGTTACTACTCCTGTTCAGCTCTTCACGGACAAAAATGTGCTGGATAGCGCAGCCACTGGCGCAGGCGGAAGAGACCACTCCAGGCCAGGTTCTCCCAAGCGAGGATTCTACGACCTGCGACTACCAATTATTAAAGCTGAGAAGCATCTACTTCGTCTAATTTTACCTATATGGGATTGACACTCCTCGTGATTTCAATCTGTAAGCCACGTGTGTTTGCTTCAGACCGACGACGGCAGCTTTACGGCCGAGATAGACCGGCTCTGGGTGTTGCCACCTAACTAACGCCCGGCCAGACACTAACACGCTATTCCTAGTAATCAATTGCACTTTTGTACCCTGTCTGTCTTGCCACTAGCTTAGTGCATGGGTCAGACTATCCTTGTATGTCATGCAAGCTAGTGCGAGCTCAGAACATGCATTGCATGTATACTAATGAATATTGAATCTATAGATATATGGACTCGTAGCACAGGTGTAGAAACATTCGTTTCGAATATACTGGCGGCTAGATAGGACACAATGGATCGAAGAATGACTCCAGCACCCTCTGACCGTGCTTCTGCGTGCAGTTCCTTTGCACCGCCATCATCGAGAATCTCTATACCCTCTGGTACGCCCCTGACTCATGTCGGATGTCAATGACATAGCTAAAGCCGTTTCCAGGATCAGCCACGACGACTGTTCGCGCTCGTCGTCGCTTCAAGAGTTCAAGATTGATTGGGGAGTGAGTGTCAGTTCCAATGAAGCTCTCGCCAGATCTAATATTGGGCCTGTAGATTCGAGAAGCCTTGGCTACAGACAGGAAAGCGCACATGGGACTGGGACAGGATTATCTTCTACAGTGCCATTGGTGTTGCGCTTGGTATGTCTCCTTTCAGTCACAAAGGAGTATTTACTCACTAGAGGATATAGCGCTGTCCGGCTTCATCTGCTATCATTCCGTGGCCACTGTACCGAAGAATGAGGTTCGTTTCGTCTAGTTCTGCTAGCCTCGTCGTGCTGTTGGGCTCACTGGAATAGTACTGTCTGATCCTAGACGAGGACTTCTCCACTCTGGATACCAGTATTTGGAACCACGAGGTGCAGGTGAATGGTTTTGGGTAAGTGATAGCAATCTTACCCGATATGCTCGAACAGCCTCTGATAGCTGGATATACAGAGCAGGCTCATTCGACTGGACCACGGCCGACCCTCGAAACTCCTTTGTCGACGCCCAGGGCCTCCACATCGTCCCAACTCTGACTCTCGAGGACACAGACATCACACCGGCGCAACTTGTAGACGGGTATGCCCTAGCCCTCCTCAAAATTTGAGTTCTCATACTGACTCCTGATAGGTACATGCTCAACCTGACCGCAGATGGCACTTGCACCACAACGGACCAACGTCTCTCCAATCTAACCACCGTCTCCAAGTGCGCAGTCCGCAGTAACGTGACGGCAGGACAAATCATTAACCCCGTCCGCTCGGCTCGACTAACCACGGCCGGGAAGAAGGCAATCAAATATGGTCGGGTCGAGGTGGTCGCTAAACTACCGGCGGGCGATTGGCTGTGGCCCGCCATCTGGTATGTCCGCCCCCTGCCATCACATCTAGCACCAGCACTAGGACTAGGACTAGGATTAGGGTTCATGCTAAATCTCTACCACAGGATGATGCCCCAAGATTCAGTATACGGGCCTTGGCCCGCCAGCGGAGAGATTGACATTGCGGAAAGCCGCGGGAACGACGCTGAGCATTATCCGTTGGGAAACAACATCATCAGCTCGTCGATGCATTGGGGCACGACGTACGATAACGATGCGTACCTGCTCAGCATGGGCGAGTGGGGATCCAAGCGCACCAAGTACTCAGATGGATTCCATACTTTTGGGCTAGAGTGGTCGGAGAAGTATCTGTTCACGTGGCTGGATGGGCGACTACGGGTGAGTTGGGCTATACGGCCTATCTCAAGGTTCTTTTCCCGAGCAAATACTGAAATCCGACCAGCAAGTGCTCTTTTTTGACTTTACCAAGAACGAGAATATGTGGACGTATGGCAAGTTCGCCGGCACGAACGACAATGGCTCGGCGCCTACGAACCCCTGGAGTCAGACCGGGCGAGATAACACCCCGTTTGACCAGCCATTTTATTTAATTCTCAATGTGGCTGTGGGTGCAACAAATAATTATTTCCCGTGAGTGTATCCCAATGGAATCTCTCTTTGTTCGCTTGGTTGTTGTGGCGCTGACGCAAACTCAATTGCTGTCTGTAGAGACCGGCTTGGGAACAAGCCGTGGATGGATAAGAGCGACACGTCGATGCGGGATTTCTGGCTGGCAAATAGTTCCTGGCTGCCCACCTGGGGAGACACAAACGACCGTGCTATGATCGTCAGGTCGGTCAAGATGTGGCAACAAGGGTCTTGTTGAAGCCATCGGTAGATATTGCTTGTTTGTTGAAGGCAGCCTGCATGGTCGTTTTGTAGTCACAATCATTTAGCGCCATTGAATACTATTTACAAGCTGTCATCTAGCCCCCTGCGGATAGTCCCTGATCGTAGTCTGTGTAGATAGGGGAATAGCCTCACGATAGACCAAAGAACGGCAACAGAAGGCGACGGATTGCCACCCCCGGCCGAGACTATCTTTATAGCGCCCTGCTAACGTGCGCTAGCCCCAGCACTAAAGTCACAAGCTTGAGGCCAAAGCCCAGCAGACACCAGTTCGTCGGCCGTCGCTACAAAATACCATTTATACTACTGTCCATCGAATGGTTCGCTTCGGCTATTCTCTTGGGTGCTATCATCGATGGTCTGATGTGCAAGTCGTTTAGCCAGAAAGCTAGCACTCACTATTTGTTCGGGGTGGCCGAAAGAACTGGATGTCGCTTGAGCTGTCTAGAGATTGCGCGCTGATGTGAAATTGCTAACCAGCGTTCTTTTAACGCTATTCACGTTCTGGCCAGTCTCGACTTCGTAGGACGCAAGGCTGGATAGCCATCAGCTCGCCAGAAAGCGCCACCTGCTCTCTGTAGAATTATCAATTCGGCCGTAACGGCCAGCGTTGACGTGTCAGTGGATATCTTTGATCATGACTCGAGCTCGGCCTTTATCTATTCTCCATAGATCTGGAGGCCATTCTCTCTTTCTCGCTCCTGGACTGTGAAGCACAATGACTGTTCCAGGGCCGGATTATGAGCATGAGCTGCCCCCAGGGAGAGATGCACCTGATCGCCTCGAACAGAGCGCGTACGGGTCCTCCCGATCACCGACACCACAGCTTCATACCGCCGAACTGGCACAGGTTCTCCCGCCCCTGACCGTGCTGCAGAAGCCGAGTATGTCGACGAGTTCTCGACGGAGCGGAACACCCTCTCTGCATCCAACGTCAGAGTTGGAGGAGGAAGACAATCCGTATATGGTTTGCTCCCTCACCCTCGCTTCCTTGACACTTCCTGACAGACGCAGATGACGAAAAGCCTGGCGCGAAGAGCAACCCTCCTGGGCTGGTTCGATCATTCCAATTCCAATCTGGCAGAGGATCCCTCCTCAGTGTGCGTGGCCATCAAACTCCCAGACGACGGGTATACCTTCCATCCTGCCGTGATCGATCCCAGCCTCGCAAACGCTATCAAAAGATTAGACGAAACGGCCGTCGTCGCGCTGTCATCTCGCGTCACCGCCCGGACAATCGCGACGATCGCCCCGGGCCAGAAGAGCTTCGTCGTAGAGAGCACGAGCGCGCGTATCCCAGTCATCCCCACCCTCGACGACGTGGACGTAAATCTGACCCACTACTCCCGTGCATGCATCGTCCTGGACGAGAAGATCGTTCTAGTCTGGTCGCACGATGCGACTGGGTTGCTTAACGTAGCGCATGATGTGGAGGTGCAGCTCGGCGGACAGGTGAGTCCGTATCTATCTATCTACTCACGGCAACGGCGCAGGATATCTGACCGGCCTGCCCTCAAAGAGCCCTAGGATATCGAATTTCACCACCCCAAGGGTATCCGGCCGGTCAACACCCCTCGGATCCCTCCCGTCAGACGAGCTGCAGAAACCGGCCATCGCGTCCCCTCTCGTGCGTGGTGCGCTGGACGAGAAACAGGATATATACAGCAAGGCAGTGGCGCTGGAAGAGGGTGAGGAAGAAGACGCCCCAGACCTGGAGCAGAATGTTGCGCCGAGGCCGGCGCTGCGGATGCATTCGATCAAGATCAGTCTGGCGATTATGCTGGTTATCTTGACGCAGGCGCTGGGTGTGGCAAGGGTGAGTCCGTTCCATTCGTGTGTTGAGTTGACTTATCTGACTGATCGGATGGTTAGCTGCTGAATGAGTACATGTGGGATGGAGGATATACGCGATTTGCGCTGGTAGGGCCGATGGGACAGGGGATTGAGGGATTTACACTGACCATGTTTAGGTTGTCACCATTCCGCCGCTCGCTATGTTCTCGCTGGTAGACACCTGCCTTTGTATCTCATTTGCTCGAGCTAACGCAGCCAGTTCTTCTTCATCGTGTTGGTCACCAGCTTCTTCCAGCTCTTCCTCCCCGCGGGATTCTGTCTGAAGAACTCCAAGTATCACTCTGGTCAGTTCCATGAAACTCTTACTGAGAAGAATATGTAGCTAAAACACATTCAGCCGTCAAGCCCAATCCAAAAGCTCATCGGGACTACGAACTGCCCCATATCACAATCCAGATGCCTGTCTACAAGGAAGGCCTGAAAGGGTATGTCACTCACCACACTGGAGTTAGTGTCAATACTGAACAGACAGCGTCATCGTTCCCACTATGATGAGCGTCCTCGCCGCAGTCCAATACTACGAGGAACAAGGCGGGACCGCTTCCGTCTTCGTCAACGACGACGGCATGCAAGTGATCCAGCCTGAACTAGCCGAAGCGAGAAAGCAGTACTACCGCGAAAATGGGATCGCGTATACTGCCCGGCCTCCCAACAAGAAAACAGCAGTCAAGAAGAGTGGCTGGGCCTCTGGGGTCTTTCGGAAGGGCAAGTCCGCGCCAGCCATAGAAGAAAACTCTCAAGGGGGAGAAGAGGGCAGTCCTCCAACGCCGCAGGAACTGGCGAATAAGATCGGGTTCGAGCGCAAGGGTAAGTTCAAGAAGGCGAGTAATATGAACTACGGACTCGAGTTCTCGATTCGCGTTGAGGATGAACTGGCTCGTCTGTTGCAAGCGGAGGCCGAGCGACTGGGATGTACGGTTGACGAGTTGACGGTGGACGACGATGAGCGACTCTATCAACAGGCGCTGGATAATACACTGGCTGCTGATGAGGGCCGTACTTGTAAGATGCCTGCAAAGATGTCTTGAATTCCGCTGATATCATGGCAGGGGCCGAAGGGAACATTCGTATCGGGGAGTTGATCTTACTGTAAGTCGTCGGCCTTGGCAAAGTCTCTCACTGACATGCTTAGGATCGACTGTGATACTCGCGTGCCGGTGGACTGCCTTCTCTACGGCGCCCTGGAAATGCACGAGAGCCCTGAAGTGGCCATTCTCCAGCACGGATCTGGCGTTATGCAGGTTGTCCATAATCTGTTCGAGGATGGCAGTGAGTATCTGCTCTGCTTGCCACTACGATGTATTCTGTAAGCTGACCAAATCAGTTACATACTTTACCAACGTCGTTTACACAGCCATCAAATACGGCGTCGGGTCCGGCGACGTGTCTCCGTTTGTCGGCCACAATGCATTTCTCCGCTGGAAAGCAATGCAAAGCATCCAGTTCGTCGATCCATCCGACGGGCTGACAAAGTGGTGGTCCGACGCACATGTCTCGGAGGACTTTGATATCAGTCTGCGGCTGCAGATGCACGGGATGGTGGTGCGGCTGGCGACGTATCACAACGGGGAGTTCAAGGAAGGCGTGTCGCTGACGCTGTACGATGAGTTGACGCGGTGGGAGAAGTACGCCTATGGATGTAACGAGCTGGTGTTCCATCCTTTGTGAGTGCCGTTAAATCTGGGGCTGGATTAGGTGCAGTACTGACCGACGCAGCTACCAATGGTTCTACAAGGGACCGGTGACCCGGCTATTCTTGCGGTTCCTCTGGAGCAACATGCCGGTTACGTCCAAGGTGACCATCGTGGCGTACATCTTCACCTGTAGGTCTCCGCCTCTTTCGCGCCCTTTATCTACGAAGCTAACAGTCTAGACTACGCCATCGGCTCGGGCATGCTCCTCGCCACGGTAAACTACATCCTCCTCGGCCTCTTCGACTCGGACATCGACCACCTGTACCTCCCCTCCTGGGGTATCTGGTGCTCTCTCGTCGTCGTCTTCAACGGGTTCTCCTCCATCGCCTTTAGCATGGTCCGCCACCAGCTCAGAGAGGAGACATTCTGGCGCGCCCTCCTCGACGCCGTCAAATGGCTCCCCTTCCTGATTATCTACTTTGGCGGGATTAGCCTGAACTGTGCCAAGGCCATTCTGTGCCATGCATTCAGCATCAATCTCGAATGGGCGTCGACAGCCAAGGAGATGGGGCCGACGGGCTTCTACATCGGGATGGACAAGATGGTCAGGCGATTCAAGTGGACGTGGGCGATTTGTTTGGTTCTCGCGGGAGGTAAGCTGCCCTGATTAAAGACACAAACGAGGTGAGCTGACTTGATAGTGATGATTTACTTTGCGGTTGGGGCCCCTTGGGGATGGACGATTACGCCGGGCCCTTATTCGACCGCGAATGTGGCAATTGCGCCGTTGGCTATCCAGATTTGCTCGTCCAGTTTTCTTCCGTTCTTTTTGGGATTGAATTGATATGGCTTCGGGAATGTGGTGAAAGCATTATCTGGTCGAAATTGAACGCATATTGAGGGTATCATTAAATCTTAGTAATGTACACATGAGACTTCACAATAGAATCTTCAAGCAAGAGAGTTGTCTTCACTCAACGTAACTCAGTTTGATCCGGGAAGGGTCAGTGAGACTGCTCCTCTTTCTTGATATACCACCGCTCGCAAAGACTGATTGGTCTTTGCGTGTCAAGTTGCGGTAGAGGATGAATAGCTGCTGAAGTGGCCTATTTCCGCGTGGATGGGGCTGGCCTGGCCGTTAAATCTATGTCTTTGCTAGACCATTAGGGGACATGTACAGGGTATTACTGAGTGACCGTGACCAACCGATCCGATCCAGAGGTAGAAGTATATTGGTGAACGCAGCCAGAGGAGTAATGACCTATGCAAGCTCATGCGATAACAGGTTGCCTATCCCCGAAAATACACTCCACTGGCCACCGGACCCAACGCCGATGCTCCTCTGGCAGAAAAGCCAGGACCCCTGCCAGAACATGCTCATCCCACCCCGTCATCATCCACGAGGTCTGCATGTACTTGAGAAGAATAGCCCAGCAGGCCAGGACAGCCAGGGCAAACGGATCCTTCGCCTCCAGCCACCCGATGAACCGTTCCGAAATCCGATACAGCCACCCAATAACCAGATGCATCAGATTCACCCCGTGCTGCCCGGCGGCTCTCAACCGATATACCTCGTCAAAGATATCCTGCAGACTATGCAGAGCAGAGTCGTAGATCTCTTTAATTGCTGGGTCATCCGTCTCCGCATGGATCAACACCTGGACGTCCCGAATCCGCCCCTTATGCCGCTCCAGCTCCTCTGCCAGCTCGGAGTTTACGTGAGTCTCCCCCTCCAGCGCCTCAGGCGCCAACACACCCGAAAAGATCTCCGCACGCCTCGACTCCAGAATCGACTTCACCCCGCGCATGAGAACAAGCCACTCCGCCTGTCCGGACTCGCTGAACACGAGGAACTCGCCCGTGCGCGGGCCATGGCCGAAGTACACGAGGCAGATCAGCACGGCCGAGATGTAGATGTACTGGCAGTTGTTCTCGTTCAGGCTGGACAGCACGGTGGTCACGGAGCGGACGCCGAAGGTGAAGTGGTCGTCTGCTTGTTTCAGATACTTGGCGCGCAGGGCCGGCTGCTGGTGCGTCAGGTGGAGGGCGGAGAGCGCCAGGATGAGATGCAGGATGGAGGGGAAGGCGAAGGCCCATTGTGGGACGTGGATGTCCCACAGGTGTTTGCGATCCTGTCCTTCTGTCACAGTGCTGGCGGTTGAGGTGACGTAGTGGTGGAAGAGTTGCAGGTCTGCCATGGAGATGCTCTCTAGAGGTGGAGGGAGAGCCGGTCCGCTGAGTACGGGCGGACTGGGTGACTGTGTGCTGGCGTCTGTGGTATTTGATGGGTCTGTTTGGAATTCATATCTGGACTGTTTGAAGCGATATTGTCGACGCGAAGGTCGAGATGGTAAAGCTGATTCAATGGCATAATCACAGATGACTGCATGCTGCCGACAATTGCTGCAGGTCGGCTTCTTCTCATCGCACTGCTTGTATATCAGTTTTTTGGCCATCGTTATACGCCAGAGGTAAAAGCTGAGTGCAGTTGAATTCAAGGAATACCACTGTGGCAGATTGAGGAAAGGTGGTCACTCACTTTGACTCGTCGCTTTTTGCAGGTCTTACAGCCCAGCCGGGATTTCTGATGGGTTCTACGCGCGCGAATCCGAGGGCCTTGCTCGGTTTCCATGCTGCAGGTGTGGGAAAGAATGATGCGATGGGATTACTTCGTATTCGTTCGTCTTTGGCCCCTTTAGGTAGCAGAAAAATTAGCCGAGCCGGAAAAATTTCCCCGAATTCTGCTCATAAACAGAACAGCAGTAGATCATAAACTAGAACACTAATACACTTGCAAATATGCCAGTAGATTCCTGTGGGTAAAAGAAGTTGCGTGCAATAAGAATAAAAGGGGGCCAAAAAAAAAAAGAAAAGATGATGCGTTAGCTGGGAGTCGAACCCAGATCTATTGCTTGGAAGGCAATAATGCTAACCGCTACACCACTAACGCTGTGGATGGGAAAACTATGCCATTTAGCCACACATGTTTCAGAAGAATTAATAGCCAGACGACTAACTGATGCCATTCTTTTGAAGCTACCTGCAAATGATAGATAATCTCAAGTTAACCGAAACATAACACATCTTGCAGCCGTCACAGAATGAAAGCCAACGGATCTGCATGAGGAATGAACAGCAACACCAAAGTCGTGGAGACTGCAATCGACCGGAAGCTGCGTGAAAAGATAACCAATTCGTTTCCCAACCACTGACAGAAAAAGTGCAACCATGACAAGGCAACAAGCAATGCTTGCTAAATTTAGGTGTTCTGTGGCTGTTTGGGGTTCCATGTTGAAAGTTTCAGGGACCAGCTCAAAAAGACCCACTCGTACTCGTTCAGGAATTTCCCAAAAGGGTAATATAGATCTACATCCAGAGACTGCAGCCCAGTATATGAGAGCAGCATGGTCTCCGTAGCTCTTGTCTCCTGGTTAGCTTTTCAATTTAAAAATTAAATCGACATGGACTTTACATTTCACAACGGGACCAACGGCTCCTCGCCGTGGGTCGAATTCTACCCCTACACCCCCTCCAACACAGCAGGATACGCCTTTATGGCCATCTTCGGCATCGCAACCGTCGTGCACATCATCCTCATGTTCCCTTACCGCGCAGCCTACTTCATCCCGCTCGTTCTAGGAGGAATCTGTCCGTCCACCCCGTTCCCAACCCACAATGCCAAATGCACTACTAACCACTCCTAACCCCAGGCGAAAGCTTCGGCTACTACGGCCGCGCATGGTCCCACCAAGACAGAACCGAAATCGGCTCCTGGGCCCTGCAGGAGATGCTCATCCTCTGCGCGCCACCCTTCGTCGCGGCAACCATCTACATGGTCCTCGGGCGGATCATCCGCGCCTTCAACGCTGAGCACCACTCCAGCATCCGCACAAAGTGGCTGACAACCATCTTCGTCCTCAACGATGTCATCTGCTTCCTGACGCAGATTGCGGGTGCAGGGGTGCAAGTGACCGGCGATGAGCACATCATGGCCATCGGCAAGAAAGCCGTTCTGGCGGGATTGATCTTCGCGCTGGTGGTGTTCGGGTTGTTTGTTTGGGTGGCGGCGGTGTTTCATCGGAGGCTGGATGCGGAGCCGACGGCTGTGGTGATGGAGTGTCCGCGGTTGGGATGGAAGAAGTACATGTGGGCGATTTATATCTCGTGTGGGATGTTGATGGTGAGGAACTTGGTGCGGACGATTCAGTTTGGGTCGGAGAAGGGGTCTGCCCTGAACACGGAGGAGGTGTATATATATGTCTTTGACGCGGCGTTGATGGCCTGTTCGATAGGTCTGTTGATTGTTTGGCATCCGGGGAGGTTGGTGCGGAGGGCTCAGAAGGCCAATAAAGCGAGTCAGCTATGTGGGCAGATGGAGGATGCAGCTAATATTCCGCTGACGGGATATAGAGAGGTCTAGTCGATGTTTTGCGCCAGTCAAGATTCTAGAGAATAGTTCGGCAAGTATGCATTCGTTTAGACCTGATTCTGTATAAGGCAAGCGGAAAACTGCTTCAATATACACGTGTTATTAGATGAATAAACTCAAAAGTCATGAATTCAACGCTATGGATATCTCTATATGCATAAGTTCAACATAACCCATCTACTTTCCAAAAACCTTGTAGCGGTCCTCAATGGGCTGGAAGGTCTTCTCGCCAGGCTCGCTGGCAGGAGTACCAAAGACGAGCTGGGCATCCAGCTTCCACGAGGCAGGGATGTTCCAGGTCTTCTGCACCTGCTCGTCGATCAGGGGGCTGTAGTGCTGGAGATTGGCACCGAGGCCTTCGGAGCAAAGCGCAGTCCAGACTATTCAGTGTTAGTTGCATGCTACCTCTTTAAACTGCGGAGAACGAAACCTACCGAGGTACTGCGACATGGCATTAGACTCGAGAGCAAAAGGATCGAACTTGTCGGCGTAGATGGCAAACTGCTCCTTGATAGCAGCGAGAGAGTCGTAGTCGACGAAGAAGAGAACCTAGACTGTCAGTATGGACCATCATCAAAGGCGGAGATCAACTTACAGTTCCATAGCCGGCGCGGAAGGCGTTCAGCTTGGGCTTGGTGTGGTTCTCAAACATCTCCTTGGGGACCTTGCCGGCAGCCACGAGGCCCTCCATGATGTTGATGGCAATGTCCCAGAGCTTCTGGTGTTCCTCCTTGAGCAGGAGGACCACACGGGAGGTCTGAGTGTTGAAGGAGCTAGGGACGTGCAGGACGGCATCCTGGACGATGCGCTCAATGGCCTCGTCCGAGATGGGGCTCTCAGCCTTGAGGCCGTAGTATGTGCGCCGGGCCTTGACCAGCTCTAGCAGAGTGGTGGTGGCGGGGTTCTTGAATTCGGGTTGAGTCGAGCCCATTTTGTGTCTGTACGATGGTTTATAGTTTGGTGTAGGAGTTGATGTTGAAGACTTGAGAGACTGTGATTGTTTTCTCCTTTTATCTGTAGAGGAGAGGGGTATTTATATCCCCCACGAAGCACGGCGCCATCATTTTTCTACAGACTTCTACATGTGGAGACTCAAGGGTCGCATCTAAGAATAATGGATTAAAAAATTAACGATCTGAAATGTGTCCCCTGGATTTTCGTCATCAGTGGCCAATTGGAATGCACGCCCATAGTTTCTTCTTGGGGACAATGTGTAAGCGGATATACGGAGAACCACATTACCAACATAAGAGGCTCCATAATGCCCCACTGCGGAACTTCCCAGGTAGTGCTTACCAAGTGCTTATAAATGAATGGTATGGCTAGAAGTGTACTATGAGTACAGAGTAGATTATGTATGCGAATTCTTGCAGTGTCCATAATTTAACCTAAAATAAGCACTAATAGACTGAGACTGATCCATAAGCATAAGCACGATACAAATTACATACTGACTAATTTAATTGTCAGCAGAAAATCCCTCATCTGATTTTCAGGAAAGCAAGATACGGGAAGGGCGCCTAAGCATGAGGAGACAGTTTCAGTTAGACTACAAGGGAATGAGACTTCGATGCTCTCAACTATCAGACCACTCAACAGTCAGCCCACTCAACTAAAACGGTGTCTAGACGACCATCGATCATCCGTAACGGGGTACGAATAGTAGCATACCAATGTGTTTCACAGATTTGATCAATTATACTCGTGTTCGTTCCTCCGGCAGGGCCCCATTTTCGTACAGGACAAATGAGTCAGAACCGTATTAGATGAGAAGCTGTTTTTAGGCAGATATTAGAGATTCCGTGAAATGCGCTGAGTTCCTGGTCTGACTGCGTCTACACGACATATCCACTTAGATGGGGCCATCGCATTTCCTTCAGGGAAGGAAAGGAGGATTTAAAAAAATGTAGACAAAAAGATTAAATGATTGGCGCTGCCCGGAATCGAACCGGGGCTGGCACGGCCACAACGTGACGTCCTACCACTAGACCACAGCACCGGATTTTTGATTTTACGTTTCTTTCATGCTACAAAAGGAGCCTCAATCTATACTTTTGTCAAGCATACTCATATTAGGTCAATGCATTCATAGCATTTTTGTCCTGTGGGAAACCGGTGCTTCGTCGACGGTGTAATCCTAGGCTGATGGGTTTTATTGTACTAATTACTTCCTCATGTTGAGTTGTGATAGCCTTCCGATTTACATCACGCGGCAACCAATATATATTTTCCGGCAAGAGAGCAAACGTATCAAATGAGTATAAAGCGCCTAGTATTGGTATGGGAGAGGCCAGAAATACGATAAGTTGACTGATCAGGCCTTCAACAAGTGAGCGGTCAACTTTTTATACGCCTTGACACCCTCCAGAAGCTCGTCAATTTCAATCTGCTCGTTCTCTCCATGGGCCACGAGAATCGATCCAGGCCCGTATAGGTATTTTTTATGATCTCCCTTGAATCGAGGGACATCTGTTCCGTATGACACTGGTACTGTTTCGAACCCTAGTATTCCGTCAGCAGGATCCAGAGAAAGGTACGGTACGGCTTGACCACCTTCGACATCATGATCAAGCAACGTCTCTGGATATTCAAACTTGAATTCCAGTCTGACATGCGGATGCTTCGCAACAACCTCTGACACAATTCTCTTGCACTCGGCCATACCTGTCGCCACACGGACGGCGCATAGTGCTGTGCTGGAACCCGGGACGATATTATAGCTCACGCCTCCTTCAATCTTGCCGATGTTAAAGGTTGACGGACCCAGCAACGACGATTTGGGGAATTTAGTAGACAAAAATTCATTCAGCACTTCGACTAGAGCGGTATTGGCGTTGATGCCGTGCTGGGGGTACCCGGAATGACTGAAAGCCTTAGCCTCAGTACACATATATCAAAGCAGACCTACCAAGCCTTCCCCTCGCCAATCAACTCAAACACCAAATGTCCCTTATGCCCAACAACCAATTTCCCCTCGGTCGGCTCCCCAAACACCACGCCCTCGAACTTCAAATCGTGATCATTCGCCGCAATCATCCCAGGGCCTCCCTTCTCCTCGCCCACGACAAACAACAAACCGACATCGCCTTCCTTGACGGCTCCCTCCGCACGCAGCTCCTCCAACGCACAGATTTGCGCAGCCATGGGGCCCTTGTCGTCGCACGCGCCGCGGCCGTAGATGGTCGAACCTTCAATGCGCAGCGGGATATGCGGCGGGACGGTGTCCATGTGCGCGGAGAGACAGGCTCGCACCCTGCGCGAAGAGCCTAGGTATGCGTAGACATTTTCGCGGGTTGAGCCTGGGGCGATGGGGATGCGTTCGACGGTGTAGCCGAGGGAGGAGAGGTGGTTGTCGAGCCAGCGGGCGATGTCTTGTTCGTGGTCGCTGGTGCTGGCGACCTGGATGAGGGATTTGAGGAGGGTCACCACTGGAGCTTCGGACATTTCTGTATCGACCTTGGTAATTGCTGTTCAAATGAGTGTTGTGTTGTGCCTGTTATGGCGGAAGGAGAGGTTGATGCGGGGAGTGGACGTTGCGGTGCGGGGAGATTTCGTCATTGCATGTGTTATCGCCCATGGTATGGAGTAGATGATAACACATTACCGATAAAGAGGTACAAGAATCAGGAACACCGTCGGACATTGCGCTGTTGGTGATAAGTGCCCAAAGAAGGAAAAGATGGACACTCGTGGCTGAAACGCGCATTGTGCTTGGTGGATTTCTTGCTACTGTAGCCTGTTGATTTACCCCGCCGCTATCGTTGAATCATCCCTAAGTATTTATCTATCTGGCTTCACGACCTCTTTCTTTCTAGCAAAGAAACCAGACTAATTGTACAGTACTCATCATGGCGTCTCTTTCTCTTGAATCTCAAGCTGAACCCAATTCCACTGAGCAGCGTATATTCAACATCCTCAATGACTATCTTCAGCCTTCTAGCACAACCCCTCCCAGCGAGGCCGCGCAAGCTATTCACGCCTTGACGCCAAAGGCGGGTTCAACACCAGAAGAGAATCCTGATCTGGAGGACTTCCTCTGGTCCACATGGGGAACTATCATCAAAACTGCCAAACAGATCAAGGACAATCATCCCTCGCAAGACCGACTGGTCGACTTGATCCACGCTTTGACCGAATTACCGCCAACAACGGTGTCAATCTGGAGTGTAAGTGTCTTCTTCCTCAGAAGCAAAATATACTGACAGTGCAGTCCGAAACTCGCCTATGGAAAGACCTGCCCATCCTCGGACCAACCCTGAGAGAATCCTGGGATCGTACGTAACCCCCATCTGTTAATGGTGCTACATTACTAAATGTCAAAGCACCCACGTATACAAAACCCAACGACCGAGAAATCACCGAATGGATTAATCTACAAGCCTTCACTGCGCGGCTGATGAGCAAATGCGACCCATCCCTTTCACTCCTTGCCGTCTGGACTCTGCGGTCGGGATTGGAAGAGGAGCTATCGGACAGGGAACTCGAGGGGGAAGGCGCCGCGGCAGCGATGTGGATGGTGTATGGTGGTGAGAACTTGTTCAGTCAACTGGTAGACGCGGTGCAAGACGAGGAGATGGAGCGCTTGATGAGGCCTGGGACATTGTATAGTGGACAGGGGCAGCTGTGCTTGGAGCGGTGGCAGTTCTGGAAGCGGCGGTTTGGGGAGATAAGTGAGCAAATCCAGGCCGATGAGGAGACAAAGGGGGTGATTCAGCTGGCCAGGGAGAAGATGGAGAGGATTGAGCAGTAGCTCATCAGAAAGTCCGTACAGACGGTGATAGATGTAAGATGCAATCGCGGAAATTCCCCGCTGTGGAGACTACGCATCAGCACGGAATTACGGATTATAAATCTCCACTGATTATCTGTCTCACATCATCTTTTCGGCATATGCAGACCGCAAATTCTTATCAATAATAGCTGAGATGAAGCTCCCATTTTATTCCATCGATAATGAAGCGCTCCTCCAGTCCATAACCAAAAATGAGTGACACCGAGGTGGAGAACGGCCTCGATCTCCAGCAAACGCGATCGGGCTGGTCCATCGCCGACAGCCTCTCCCCATTGCGGGAGACGGTCTTTATCTTCGTAATATGCATGGCGCAATTTATGACCCAGGCAGGACTGGGTAGCCAACTGGCCCCGCTGACCATCGTCGGGGACTCCTTCCACATCACCGACAACGGTATTCTCAGCTGGTTCATCGCGGGCTACTCCCTGACGGTGGGCACTTTCATCCTCTTCTTCGGCCGCTGCGGGGACTGCTTTGGCTACCACACCATGTTCGTGATCGGCTTCGTCTGGTTCGGCGTCTGGTCTATGGTCGCCGGCGTCAGCGTCTACAGCAACTACGTGCTGTTCATCTTCGCGCGCACCGCGCAGGGCCTTGGGCCCGCAATGCTGCTCCCCAACGGCCTGGCGATTCTAGGAGCAACGTACCGCCCCAGTCCGAAGAAGGACATGATATTTGCGATCTTCGGCGCGACAGCCCCCAACGGGGCGATCATCGGGGCTATCTTCGCCGCTCTCTTCAGCCAGCTGGCCTGGTGGCCGTGGACGTTCTGGGCGAATGCGATCGTCTGCCTGGTCTTGGCCGCGCTGGGGTGGGCCGTGATCCCGCGCATCCACCACGAGCGCGAGAAGCACGGCATGACTCTGCTCGAGTGGATGCAGGAGCTGGACGTCATGGGGGCGTGTCTGGGTGTCGGGGGCCTGATCCTCGTCAATGTGGCGTGGAACCAGGCGCCTATCGTCGGCTGGCCGACGGCGTATGTGTACGTGCTGCTGATTATCGGGGCGGTTCTGCTAGGGCTTTTCTTTGCATGGGAGCTGCGGGTTGCGACGAAGCCGCTCATCCCGTTCCATGCGTTGACGCTGGACGTCTCCTTCGTGCTGGGCTGTATTGCCTGCGGCTGGGCCAGCTTCGGCATC